CTGGGGCTCCAGGGGCCGTCCCCAGACCCTGCCCTCAGAAGGCCCTGGACAGAGGCCCTAGGGGGGCAGAAGCCACCCAGTGGCTGCCTGTCCTGGGAGGCCCTGGTGTGGTCAGGCAGGTGCAATTGTGTCACAGCCACGCAGCATCCTGGAGGGGCGGAGCAGAAAGTGAACCGGGCTGCACCGGCCTGGACACTTGAGTTGGTGAAGTTCGGCTTGGGGATGGCGGGTGGGTGGGCAGAGGGTGTGAATGGGACAGGCCGTGGAGGCCGGGGACAGGGCAGGGGCTCTCAGGCACCTTCCCTGTTTATTCTCTGCTGCCCTCCCCGGGCATCTGATTGCTCCAATATCTAGAAACCAAGGATCCATCCACCGACGGCCCGAGGAGGCAGCACCATCAGGAAGAGCAAACCAGCCACAGCTGAGGCTCCAGGATGGGAACACTGCAGGATCCTGACGCAGAGTCCAAGGGTGTGAGGTCAGAGGTCAGAGGTTAAGGCTGGGGGGACGAGGTGAGTCAAAGGTTGTGGTGGAGTAGGCGGTGGGGTCACAGGTCCTGGGTTCTGCAGTGGACAAGGGCCTGGAGACGTGGCTGGGAGGGCTGCAGGGCAGCAGCAGCAGCTGCCCTCACCCCAAGCATGGGGACCTCATGGGCCTGAGGCTGAAGGAGGAGCTAGGGCTGCTCCCAAGGTGGGGTAGGGGCAGCTCCTGGACACTGAGTGCAGGTCCCGTGAGGCAAGGGGGAGGTCACCCGTGGAGGCCTGGGTGAGGGAGGCCTCATGGAATCGGAAGCCTGCAGCCTGGGCAAGGGAGTTGACCTCACTGGAGTGGAGCTTGGGGTCACCTGCTGCTGAGTCATGGGGCTGTCATGGCCTAGGTAGGCACCCAGCGTGAATGGCAGGGAATCCTCAGAGACCGCCCTGAGATCCCCACGACTGAGGTCACGAGGTCAGTCCCAGCCCCACACGCCTTGGGTCTGACCCTGCCTCACCCAGGCCTCCTGTCCAGTGATGTTCTGATCCACTAATCACGGGCACCACCAATGAGAAACCCACAGTGCCAGCCCCGCTGTGGCTGCCGCAGGCCCCCTGCAGACCTGGCCCCACCCCGCTCTGGCCCTGGCTTCTGTCACTGGAATCTGTGTCCACCCTGGGCTTACAGGTGCTGCTTCCTGTGCGTGGAGAGCCCTCTGGGTCACGGCCTGTCCTCTCTCCCTGCAGCAGAGACCCCCGAGCCTGCATGGCCTCCACCCAGCCGCTCCCCACCCCATGGTGCGGCTTCGGCCCACCTTGCTCCTGACTGTGCCCTGAAGCCCAGCACAGCACAGCTGGGTGCAGCAGGTGGAGAGCTGGGAGAGGTGAGGGAGGGGCCCCCAGTGGTGGCTGTGCCCCCATGTCCTGCTGTCCAGGGTCTTGGGACCAGGGTTTGAGCGACTGGCTGAGGGTCCCGGTGGGTGGTCATGGCCGCTGGCCTGGCCTCCCCAATTCAGTCTCGCCATGCTGGGCCTGTGCTGGGCACCTGGTCAGCTGTCCACCCCCTCCACCCCCAGAGGAACACGAGGCACAGCCTCTGGGCAGAACACCTGACAAGGGAGCCAAAGGGCAAAGGCTCTCTCTGCAGTCTTCCGTCTTCTCTCAATCCCACAGTCCTCCTGGTCAGCAGCTCCCGGGAGCTCCATGGTGCAGCCGCACTGCCCCCACGTGGCCCAGGCTGTGCGCGGCCGACTGGCCCTTGGGGCACCACAGAGCTGGCTGGGGTTTGGCTCGAGCTTCATGGGCAGCTCCTTGCAGGCGCCTGAGGATGGGGTCCATGCTGGCAGCATGGCTGGGCGGGGAGCACGGCAGCCCTGCTTCTCTACGGGTTGGCACCCCCTCCCCAGAGAATCCTCCAAGTCGTGAGCCCACTGCCCTCCAGGGACCCCCAGTTTTGTATCAATGACACCCAGCAGGACAGCAGGAGAGTCCCCACCCCACAGCTCCAGCTGCAAGAGGCTCCTCACTGCCTCCCCTTGACTCCTGGCAGCTGGGAGCTCCCCAGCAAACGTCCCTCCCAACGGCCCGACACGACACGCTCTCCACATCCAGGGTTCCTTCACCAGCAGGCTGGCCTGATGTGCACTTGCCCAGCACACTAGCCCTGCTGTCCTCAGAGTGTGCGGGGCAGCGGCTCCATGGCCCTCCCCACTTTGTGCTAAAGAACTTCTGCTCTGAAATTTTCAGTGGGTTTTGTTCTTGTGACTCTTCACGGGGGCCCCTCTCCAAGGCAGCCTCCCCGAGGCTGCCTGCCGAACAGGGCCCACCCGGCAGCCATGTGCAGAGTACGTGAGGGTACCTATACCTCACACCAAGTGTACCACACACTTGTGCCTCTGCACCACACACCCAGGTACCTGACACCTGTGCATCTGCACACTTGTATACCTGTAACTCACACCTCTGCATCTACCACACCTGAGCAGACCACACGCCTGTGCACCTGTACCACAAACCTGTGCATCTGTCCGACATACCTGTCTTCTGTACCATGTACCTGTGCACCTGTATCATAAACCTGTACATCTGTCCCACATACCTGTGTCTTCTGTACCACACCTGTGCACCTGCATCCCACACCTGTCTTATGCACCACACACCTGTGCACCTGCATCCCACACCTGTTTATGCACCACACACCTGTGCACCTGCATCCCACACCTGTCTTCTGTACCACACACATGCACACCTACACAACACACCTGTCTTCTGCACCACACATCTGTGCACCTGCACAACACACCCGTCTTCGGCACCACACACCTGTGCACCTGCATTCCATACCTGTCTTATACACTGCATATCTGTGCACCTGAACAACACATCTTTTGTACCACACACCTGTGCACCTGCACACCTGTCTTCTTCTGTACCACACACCTGTGCACCTGCACAACACATCTGTCTTCTGTACCACACACCTGTGCACCTGCATCCCACACCTGTCTTCTGTACCACACACCTGTGCACCTGCATCCCACACCTGTCTTCTGCACCACACACCTGTGCACCTGCAAAACACACCTGTCTTCTGCACCACACACCTGTGCACCTGCATTCCACACCTGTCTTATGCACCGCACATCTGTGCACCTGCACAACACACCTGTCTTCTGTACCACACACCTGTGCACCTGCACAACACACCTGTCTTCTGTACCACACACCTGTGCACCTGCACAACACACCTGTCTTCTGTACCACATACCTGTGCACCTGCATCCCACACCTGTCTTCTGTACCACACACCTGCACACCTGAACACACCTGTCTTCTGTACCACATACCTGTGCACCTGCATCCCACACCTGTCTTCTGTACCACACACCTGCACACCTGCACAACACACCTGTCTTCTGCACCACACACCTGTGCACCTGCACAACACACCTGTCTTATGCACCAAACATCTGTGCACCTGCACAACACACCTGTCTTCTGTACCACACACCTGTGCACCTGAACATACCTGTCTTCTGAACTGCACAGCACAACACACCTGTCTTCTGCACAACACACCTGTCTTCTGCACCACACACCTGTGCACCTGCACTCCACACCTGTCTCATGCACCGCACATCTGTGCACCTGCACAACACCTGTCTTCTGTACCACACACCTGTGCACCTACACACCTGTTTTCTGTACCACATACTTGTGCACCTGCATCCCACACCTGTCTTCTGTACCACACACCTGCACACCACACCTGTCTTCTGCACCACACCTGTGCACTTGCACAACACACCTGTCTTCTGTACCACACACCTGTGCACCTGAACACACCTGTCTTCTGTACCACATAGCTGTGCACCTACATCCCACACCTGTCTTCTGTACCACACACCTGCATACCTGCACAACACACCTGTCTTCGGTACCACACACCTGTGCACCTGCACAACACACCTGTCTTCGGCACCACACACCTGTGCATCTGCACAACACACCTGTCTTCTGCATCACACACCTGTGCACCTGCACTCCACACCTGTCTTATGCACTGCACATCTGTGCACCTGCACAACACACCTGTCTTCTGCACCACACCTGTGCACCTGCACAACACACCTGTCTTCTGAACCACACACCTGTGTACCTGTACAACACACCTGTCTTCTGTACCACACACCTGTGCATCTGCACCACACACCCAGGTACCTCGCACCTGTGCATCTGCACACTTGTGTACCTGTAGCTCACACCACTGCATCTACTACACCTGAGCAGACCACACGCCTGTGCACCTGTACCACACAGTTGTCTTCTGTAGCACACACTTGTGAGGTCCTGAGAAACACACTTTATCTCCCATCAGAGGAACATCTTGGTGCTGTGAAAAGGTCAGATTGTGGATGAAGTTTTCCAGGAAACCACGCCCCCTACCTGTCCCTTCCGAACCCACTGAGCAGGAGTTTGAACAGGTAGAACATCCCAAGACCAAAACAACAGAGAAAAGCCGTGCAGGCCAGCATGGGAGGAGCAGCGTCAAGGCAGAGACGAGAGGCTGCAGCCCCAACACCAGACAGGGCTGTGTGAGGAGAGCAGCGTACAGAGAACGGGGCTGGGGCCGGGAGTGTGAGCCCAGGAGGGCCTGGCACCGAGCAGGGAGGGCTGAGGCCAGCAGGGGACGCACTGGCTGGCCACGTGCAAAGACTGTGGCTGATGCAGGGCACAGCGTGGCTAAACCCTTCATGACGGAAATACACAACCTGCTACACCCAATTAGATTTCTTCATCCAAATGGAGCAGTTTTATGAAATGTAACCACCTCAACAGAGGGTGGGACAGTCCCTCTGGATTTTCACAAGCAGAGCCATGCACGCTGGGCTGAAGAACATTCCAGAAGGTGTCCGTGACCTTGGGAGGTCCCAGGCGAGCCAGCGCATCTGACAGTGACTGTCTGGACAACCAGGCTGTGGGACTTGGTTCTTGGGCCAATTTGATTTGAAAAGCTGAAGGCGGACCACGGGTCTAACATTCCCTTTTATTGTGTACATTGCATATTCCAATGAATACAATAAACTCTTTTAAAAAAGTAAGGCACATGAACAGCCTTCTGTGTGCAAGTTCTGTATGATTTTAAAATTCCTACTAATAAAAGCATTTCCACTATAGAACCGAGACATCTAGAAAAGCTCATGACAGATTTTTTGCAAGCAGAATGCCCGAAACATTATTACAGTTACCTCATGGCACAATGAGACAGTCACCAAATCCAAGGCTTGAGTTATAATGACACAGCTCCTGTTAGGGTTGCAGAAACATTAATCAGCATATCCACATATGTACAGCCAGGTCCCCACGTGGTGAAATCTAAAGGAAGAACACCATCTAACTGCATCCACGTTCCACTCCCTCACAGGGAGGAACTTTGGCTTTTTTCCATACGTCGGTCCCGCTGCTCTTCGTGAGGCCAGGGTCATACGATACTGAAGACCATGGACAGATACTGTTCGTAGGAAACCTGAATCCAGCCGTCCTGATCCGTGTCGTAACGTCTGAATATATCCGTCAACCTCTGGGGAGAAAGCAGGCATTTAAATCTCAACAGAAGCGGGAGCAAGGTGCGCTGGGAGGAAGACATTTAGGGGCCCAATTTCAGGGGCACACACGCCATCTCCTGATGGAGCCCAGCACAGATACAGGTGGGGCAACAGAAAACGTGTCCCTTTTCTCGGAATAAAAGTTTTTGCAAAAACACACCATAGTTGGCCAGGCACCGTGGCTCACACCTGCAATCCCCGCACTTTGGGAGGCAGGGGCGAGCAGATCACCTGAGGTCAGGAGTTCAAGATCAGCCTGGGCAACATGGCGAAACCCCATCTCTACTAAAAAAAACACAAAAATCAGGCTGGGCTCGGTGGCTCAAGCCTGTAATCCCAGCACTTTGGGAGGCCGAGACGGGTGGATCACGAGGTCAAGAGATCGAGACCATCCTGGTCAACATGGTGAAACCCCGTCTCTACTAAAAATACAGAAAATTAGCTGGGCGTGGTGGCGAATGCCTGTAATCCCAGCTACTCAGGAGGCTGAGGCAGGAGAATTGCCTGAACCCAGGAGGCAGAGGTTGCGGTGAGCCGAGATCGCGCCATTGCACTCCAGCCTGGGTAACAAGAGCGAAACATCGTCTCAAAAAAAAAAAAAAAAAAAAAAAAAAAAAAACCACACAAAAATCAGCCAGGTGTTGTGGTGCACTCCTGTAATCCTGGCTACTGGGGAGGCCGAGGCAGAATCGCTTGAATCCAGGAGATGGAGGTTGCGGAGATTATGCCACAGTACTCCAGCCTGGACAGAGCGAGACTCCGCCTCAAAAAAAAAAAACCACCAGGACGTAAGTGTAAATAACCCACCAGATACCACCTAAATGGCGTCTTCCAGGTGGCTGCTCTATGCTGTTTCCAAGGGGAGGAAAACAAGGCTGCCTACACCAGGCGTCCCCAAACTACGGCTGGCCCGTGGGCCGCATGCGGCCCCCTGAGGCCATTTATCCAGCCCCCGCCGCACCTCAGGAAGGGGCACCTCTCTCACTGGTGGTCAGTGAGAGGAGCACAGTATGTGGCGGCCCTCCAACAGTCTGAGGGACAGTGAGCTAGCCCCCTGTGTAAAAGTTTGGGGACGCCTGGTCTACACTTTACTAACCAGCTACTTCTCTAAAGATGACACAAACTTTTATACGCTCCAAAAGCTAATTCTACATATGCCTGATTCCTTCAATCGATGGTCAGGTACACCACGTGGCCGGGCAACCCCCTCCCGCCCCCACAACAAACCCACGAGAAGCTACTCATCACCTGCAGGACCAAGGTCAGGTACACCACGTGGCCGGGCAACCCCCTCCCGCCCCCACAGCAAACCCACGAGAAGCTACTCATCACCTGCAGGACCAAGGTCAGGTACACCACGTGGCCGGGCAACCCCCTCCCGCCCCCACAACAAACCCACGAGAAGCCACTGGTCACCTGCAGGACGATGCAGCCCTGGATGAAGTCATCGAAGGCGATCTGCCCCCGTCCCTGCCTGTCGAACTTGCGAATGAGGATGTCATGGAACTGGTCAGAGAGCCGGTAGCCTTGAGGAGGGAAAGGCGGGGTCAGGGAGGGCTGGGAGGGAGGCAAGGTGTGTGCCAACGCCCACAGCCTCCCTCCCAAGGCCCACAGCCTCTAACACGCGATGCAAGGCGGGGTGGGAACAGAAGTGCAAATTCACTCAAAGGCACTCGGAACTGAGACGCTTCCCGAGCACACAGTTCTGTAACCAGCTTGTATCTCCAGTGCGTTAAGTCACCCCTTGAGATCATCACCCTGGAAGGAGTGAGTGGGAAGCCGCCATTGTCCTGAAAGCTGGTGTGAAGTCACTTGTGAAGTAACCACTCGTCCCAGGGAAGCACTCACAAAACACCCCCCACAGGGCACCACGCTCAGTTTCGTGAATCCAGTGGAGTTATTTCCTAAAGTCCTTGTTGATTTTACTATGTTTATTAGATAAGAAAATTCTGGATGATTCGCTGCCCTGGGTTGCTCATCACCAGACAATGCTTTGAAACTAAAATTTCACAGGTGGCTTCTAGTTACACCAAGTGTCAATGCAGGGAAATGGGAGTAGCTGAGGGACGCACCCACCACCTGCCATGAGGGACTGAAGACACAGAGGCAGAGCGGCCACGGAAAGGACCAGGTCACTGCAAGGCCACCAAGGGCTAGGATTCCAATATCCACAGGGCCACTGCCTGTCTGGGTGCTCCCTGAGTGTGTCCTGAAAAGGCCTCCCAGGGCAGAGGGCTCTGAAGGCGTGTGGATGCACCAGGTGTCCTCGGCCGCCCCCGAGGGCATGCCCCGCCTGCCCCCTTCCCTGGAATCCCACTACCTGCATGACTGTGGCATCGTTACCGACTCAGGAGGCAATAAGCAGGTGCCGGCACGTTTCTACTGGGGTTCAGCCTCGCCGGACTCTCTGCGGGGACGTGTGCACCGACTGTCTAAATCTCACAGGTGATCACCTCCACAACAGCCATTCCACCGACAGAGTCAAGCAGGCAAACACGAACACAGTGCCTTCCAGAGTGGTCAGAGCATTGTCATTTAAGTTCAGGGTCCCTAAATGTGTGACAGTGGAGCTGCTTCAGGCCCTCCTTCCCTGCAAGCTGAGAAGACAGGCCCTCCCATTAAATTCAGAAGAGACAGCAGAGTTGTGAAGAGCTGCCACTTCCCCTGGTCCCTACTACTCCTACCTCCTCACTCCCCGCACCCCTACTGGGGCTAGGCTTGCTTGCTGAGAACAGAGCCTGGGACACAGCCAAAGGGACATTGCCTATCTGGGTGTGCACAAGGGACAAAGGCCGTCACCGGGGTGCACGGGGGACAGAGGCCGTCACCAGGGTGCACGGGGATCAGAGGCCGTCACCGGGGTGCATGGGGGACAGAGGGCGTCACCGGGGTGCACGGGGGACAGAGGGCGTCACCGGGGTGCACGGGGGACAGAGGGCGTCACCGGGGTGCATGGGGGACAGAGGCCGTCACCGGGGTGCACGGGGCACAGAGGCCGTCACTGGCCTCCTGAGAAGGCTGGGGAAGGACAGAGGCCCGGGTTCTCCGTTCAGCACAGACAACAGGAGCAACCCCACTGCCTCTGGAATTAACTCCCAATTTCCTCGGTCATCAGCAATAGTGAAGGGCAAACAAAGGCAAAGTCAAACTAGTAAAATGAGGGACGGGACGTACAAACGAACTACAAAAGGAATGTTTCTGTGAGAAGCCGAAACCAGCAGTCACTCTTCTCTAAGAGTTCCTGTTGCCGGGCGCGGTGGCTCAAGCCTGTAATCCCAGCACTTTGGGAGACCGAGGCAGGTGGATCACGAGGTCAAGAGATCGAGACCATCCTGGTCAACATGGTGAAACCCCGTCTCTACTAAAAAAAATACAAAAATCAGCTGGGCATGGTGGCGCGTGCCTGTAATCCCAGCTACTCAGGAGACTGAGGCAGGAGAATTGCCTGAACCCAGGAGGTGGAGGTTGCGGTGAGCCGAGGTCGTGCCATTGCACTCCAGCCTGGGTAATAAGAGCGAAACTCCATCTCAAAAAAAAAAAAAAAAAAGAGTTCCTGTTAATGAAACTCAGCATGTGAGAGCACCAATGTCCTTGGACCCACCGCTTTCTAAGATCATTCTCCTTTTTGGACTCCCTTGAAATGTTGTGAACGAGCCAAGCAAAGCCCTGACCTCCTCAGAAACCATCTACTCCACCTTCAAGGAAAACCAAGCTGTCCCCACCCAACAGGACCAGGCTCCTCGGGGCTCTTCCGGCTCTTGGGGGCCTAGTACACTGCAAAGGACCAAGGCTCCAGACCAGATGGAATCCAGTCCCCTCTCTGGGAAGTCTGGACCCTCCCTCAGCCTGCACAGGGTCAGAGTGAGGCAGTGTGGAGATGATCCCGACCCCAGCCCTTCCCTGTCCCTGTCAAGCTCTCTGCTCCAGTTCCTGGGTGATAACAGCATCAGCCAGCAGGGACGGGAAGGCCTTCTCCCAGGGCTGAAATTCCAGGAAGCGAGCAGTCCTGTGGACAGAGCAAAGTCTTTCTCTAAGAACAAGCACGAGGGATGATGCCGCCAAAAAATTTCTCTGCCAGCATTTCTGGGTCTGGCCAGTGGGCCTTGCTTGGGGCCTAACTCAGGCAAAACAATGGAAAAAGCACTGTGTCAAAGCTGTAAGGGGAATTAATAGCACTGACTTCATAAGCAAATGTCCATGTGCTCCAGAAACACAGCGAATGCCAGGATTACCACACAGGCCTTGCATGTGCTGAGAATGCTTTAGAAAGGGGGAAAAGCACACACAGCAAAAAGACAAGTAACAGCTGAAAACGAGTGATGAGTGAATGGAGGCTCCTTCCACTCCAGTACATTTTTCATTACAAAAAGCTAAACTGGTGGTGGCTTTGAGGCTGGTGGAGGAAGGGGAGACCTAGAGCGAACGGATGAGATGGTGGGGTGGTAGAACTGTTCTCCGTCCACTGCCTCTCTCAGACAGGCACTGCACTGAGCGGAGAATCTCACCGATGTCTACGGCAACCTCAGCGGCACCTGCTGAGTCAGCAGGTCTCACAACGGCTGATGAGTGCCAGAACGTGGGGACGCCTCCCGCACCTTTTCGTTCCGGGTCTCTGAGCCTGGCACACAGGTGATGTTAACAATTAAAAACACTGATGCCTGGGTTACAAAATCCACCACGTGGCCCCATCAGAGACACCCAGGGGACATCATGCAGGCTCCACTACCCGGGCGATTCCCTCGTGCCGGCCACTGAGCTCAAATGCAGCCTCCCTGCTTTTATCTGAGAGCAAAACACTTATTCCTAGGGGCCAAGACAAGAGAAGAATTTTTGCTTCTGAGGGCCACTTCCTAACAGTTACTACGGGAAATCTTTCAAAATAATCAAAATTCAGAAAGGACAGCACTGCCCCTTTCCACAGAAGATGTGGGCGATGGCTCTGGAGATCAAGAACCAAATGCAAGAGGAAAACTATTAGGGTAACCGAAGAAACGCTGCAAGGGGCACCCGTACCCCAGGAGCAGCTCAGAAGTCGGGAAGGTTCTGCTGCCCAACGCAAGCAGGACTGCCAGCTCCAGGGCATGAGGAGCCTCCCGCCACAGCTCAGCAGTTTTCTGGGACGTCCCTGGCCAGACCAGGATGAAGAGGGCTGAGAGACCTGATGGTCACTGGTACTAGGCAAAGGGAGCTCCGGGGCCTGACACGGTTAGGAAAGGAAGATGTCCATGGCACTAGAGGTCTCCTGTCTAAAAATAACTCCAGGCTGGTCCTGAAGTCCACGTGGCCCTGGCCGCACTCAGCAGCACTGGCCTCCCTGGCCCCTAGGACCACTCTCTGTGGAGGGGGATCCTTCCCTCCCAGCCCTTCCATGTCTACCCCAGGGAAGAGGAGCTGGCCAGGGTTCCGCCAGTTCCCCCACCCAAGGGCACCGCAAGGTCAGCTACATTCCAAGGGCCAATTCAGAACCATCCCACCCAGACCCTGGCCCGCAGCTGGCCAGCTCAGAACAGCTTCCTGTGGAGACCCAGTGTCCACAGGTGGCCCTGTGGATGAGCTTGTAAGGTGAGAAAGAAAAGAGAAAGAGAAGACAGCCATAAAGTGCGTGCTGGGAGGAACCATGAGGAGAGGCAGCGTGCTTTAGATGAGTGAGACTCCAGAGAGCTCGGATGTACTCAAGTAGAATCTAATTATCCTCACTGGTTCTAAGGAGCCTTTTAAGTAAATCACAGAAGCAGCTTCGTAACAGGGGCCAGGTGAGATCCGCCCACATTAGAACCTCTTGCGCTGGCTGTTCCTCTGAAAATAGAAGCCTGGCTTCCTGTCAGACCTGAGACCAGCACAGGAAGCCCCATGGATGGGCCCTATGGACACACTCTGGACGGGCCCTGTAAACACTCCTGAGACTCACAGCACACCACCACACACTGTCACACACATGCCGAGCACACACACGAGGAACACACCTGAGAACTGAAACGCGCTCCGCCTCTCTGATGCAGTTTCTGAGACACACGGCACACAGTCACGTGCGCGCACACACAGCACATACATGCAGAACACACTTGAAAATGGGCAAGTGCTCTGCCTCTGATGCCGCTTCTGAGGGACACAGCACACCTTCACACGTGCACACATGCCGAGCACACACGAACACACTTGACAATGGGCATGTGCTCTGCCTGATGCCGCTGAGGCAACAGCACACTGTCACACGTGTGTGCACACACACAGCACACACATGCACAACACACTTGAGAATGGGCACATGCTCCGCCTAATGCCCCTTCTGAGGCACACAGTTTGGACAGAGCGTTGGACGTGGGGACTGACAGCTTTTTCTTAGGTGACTGTCACCTTTTCCACATGCTTTGGTGTCTCACTAAATATAAGCTGCCCTGCCCCACGGTATTTTCATGGATCCATTTTTAAATGATTTCAAAAGCCACATTCTCAGTTTTGCTCGTGACATCATTCCACTTCACAAAAAATGACCGGCTTGCATAGCCCTTATCTCATTTTGGATAAAAACTGCATAAACGAATCCACATCAAATATTGCCTTCCAACATGAGCAATGTCAAAATATGAACCTGCGTGATGTAAACAAAAACTTTACACAGCCTGGTTAAGCACCTGGTTAAACAATCAGTTAACTAAGTTCAACAAGGTTTACAAAACCTTCAACGGCTCCTAGTTTCCAAAATGAAACAGGCTACACAAGCCAGGTGAGTGAGTTACCAAAACCTGAGAGGGCCTGCTTCAGCTCGTTCTTGTCAATCATCCCGGAGTTGTCCCGGTCGTACGTGCGGAAGACGTTCTGCCAGTCCGTGATGTACTTCCACACGCCCGTGAACTCGCTGAAGTTCACGCCGGCCTTGTTCTCACGGTCGAACATGGCTGAGACAGAGGAACAGTCAAGCAGCAAGAGATCAGTCGCAGGAAACTCACTGGAAGCTTCCCACCAGCCCTCAGCCCTCAGCACCTGGCGGCGTCAGCGCTGATCACTAACCAGGGGCTGGGCAACGCACGCCTGTCTGTGAATAGGGCAAAATCCCTGGGGGTGGAACCCCTGAGTCCCCTGAGAAGGTGTACTCGCAGCTGTAAGGCAGGCCGTGCAAGGGGACGTGCGAGGAAATCCGGCCGCAGCCACGATGGAAAAAAGAGAAGAGCTTTGCGCTTCTGAGGCACAGGGAGGCTGAATGCTCCCAGCTCCCCTGACTCCTGGGTCTCGGCCTCGAGCAGGAATCTAACTCCCAGAACCGACCCTCCGACTCTCCAGGGCCTGTGACACTGGTGAAGGCTCAGGGCAGCCCTGTCAGGAAAGCCCGCTCTAATTAGGAAAAAACTCTCACCAGGCCAGGCACAGTGGTTCACGCCTGTAATCCCAGCATTTTGGGCGGCCAAGGCGGGCGGATCATCTGAGGTCGGGAGTTCGAGACTAGCCTGACCAACAAGGTGAAACCCCATCTCTACTAAAAATACAAAATCAGCTGGGCGTGGTGGTACATGCCTGTAATCCCAGCTACTCGGGAGGCAGGAGAATCACTTCGACCCGGGAGGCGGAGGTTGCAGTGAGCCAAGTTAGCACCATTGCACTCCAGCCTGGGCAACAAGAGTGAAACTCTGTGTCAAAAGAAAAAAATAATTTGGTATGGTTTTACAGATTGGGGGTGATAAAAAGAAAAGAAAAAAAAACCTCTTGCCTTATCCTATTTGCTTTCAGTCTAATTCCAGGTCCAAGCCGGGCGCGGTGGCTCAAGCCTGTAATCCCAGCACTTTGGGAGGCTGAGGCGGGTGGATCACGAGGTCAGGAGATCGAGACCATCCTGGTCAACATGGTGAAACCCCGTCTCTACTTAAAATACAAAAAATTAGCTGGGCATGGTGGTGTGTGCCTGTAATCCCAGCTACTCAGGAGGCTGAGGCAGGAGAACTGCCTGAACCCAGGAGGCGGAGGTTGCGGTGAGCTGAGATCGTGCCATTGCACTCCAGCCTGGGTAACAAGAGCGAAACTCCGTCTCAAAAAAATAAATAAATAAAATAAAAATAAAATAAAATAATTCCAGGTCCAAATACAAAAGAATCTACAACTACCTTTATATGTAGTTGCAATATGGCTAAAAAACAGAAAATTCAGTCTGAATTGCTGCTGCAGAGAAAATGATAAATCATGTGGCCTCTTTTCAAGCACAGTGTTGAATATAGGATTGCGATTCAACGCCATCTGTCTGATCAGAAATATTACAACCAAATGAAAACTCACAGGATGAAAAACCCTGTGACAAACAGAGGAACTGTTTCCTTCCAGCAGTCCGCAAGCCTGTGATGCCACATGGGCTGTTTTTCACATGACTACTGAGGATGTGCACTCCGTGTGTGGTGTGTGTGGACCATGCTGGTGGGATGCTGCTGGGTGGGCTGCATCCCAGGGGAAGAGCTCAGCAGAGGAGTGGCTCCCAGGCCCATCCTCTCCAGTGGGGAGGTAGCCCCCATCCATCAACACCTTTTCTAGCACTGAAGGCTGAGCCCTGCCACTACTGCACTTACAAGTTTTCTCTCCTTCCATCAGTGTGACACAGTGACACCTGCACCAGCAGCAGCAGCAGGGCAGGATCATCTGGAGAAGCCCCTGCTACCTACACCCCACCACCAGACTCACACACCTCACCACACACGGACTCCTCAAGGAACTAAGGGAATCAACAAAAGACTAAAACTCATGGCTGGACGGGAGATGAGGGAACAAGCCCCAGGCCGCTCCGGGCAACCTCAGGACAACGCCATGGTCCCTGTGAAGCAGAACTGAACCCAGGATTCCATGTTAAACAGATCTGGAAGGGGGCTGCAGCCCCCAGCAAAGGAAACCTTCAAAAAATCAAGTGGGTGGGGACGGAAACACAAGTCTCCCCATCCCAGGCCTGCCTCGGAGCTGCAGGTCACACCCCGGCTACAGGTGATGGAGACACAGCACGACTCTCCTGAAAACCACAGACCAGGCCTGCCTGCCCTGGAGCTGCAGCTCTCACCCCAGCTACCATCTGGGCATGGGGGTACACACTTGTAATGCCGTAACTTGGGATGCTGAGGAAGAATTGCTTAAGCCCAGGAGTTCCAGACCAGGCCTGGACAACACAGAGAGACCTCATCTCTTAGAAGAAACAAACAAAAAACCCGGCTACCTGTACAGTTGGGGAGACCCTGGCCCCAAAGAAATGATGCAGACCCTCATATTAAGGCTACACACGAACCCACAAAACAAACAAAAATTACAAAAACATCAAGTTAGTCACTATGTGTGGGCTTGAGCAGGAACAATTGGCTGCAGACCACCTTCCAAAGGACGTCAAACATCCTGTAAAGTAGCTACATGTTACAAATATGTATTGCTTTTCAATAAAATATTTTCTTTTTTTTTTAAATTGCATTTTAGGTTTTGGGGTACATGTGAAGAACACGCAAGACTGTTGCATAGGTACACACGTGGCAGTGTGATTTGCTGCCTTCCTCCCCATCACCTATATCTGGCATTTCTCCCCATGTTCTCTCTCCCCAACTCCCCACCCCACACTGTCCCTTCAATAAAACATTTTTTTAAACTTTAAGACCATCATAAATTCTGAAGTAATAAAGAATGAAATCACAAAAAAAAATAAGCAACGTCTATCAAAAACAACCAGATAGGACATGAAAATAACTAAACAATAATTTAGAAACTTTAAATATGTATCATCTTTAGAATTAGAAACTGAAAGGACAGGTTAAACAGTACATTAAAAATAGTTAGACTAAAACAAACACACACGGAGAGACGTGAAAAGGTATACACAGAGCCAGGGAGAGAAGGATGGAGGAGCCCACGCTCATCTAAGTGGAATTCCAGAAGGGAGGAAAGTGATATGGACCCACAGACAAAGGAAACGGAACCTGCACCAAGCGGGCTGGATACAAAGCAGCCCAGGCTGGTCTGTCGGCTGATACTTACATATGATCGACCTGACGGTCACTGGATTAAAGGGAGTCCACGTGCCTGAAAACAAACAACAGGAGTTAAACTAAAAGGAAATCTTTCTGGGACACGAGTTCCCGATCTATACCTGGAGGACCCATGAAAGGCAATCCTGGCTCTCGGTCAGTGGTTTTCTAGACACTCTGGGTGACGTGTCAGCTGCTGTGACTCCCGGGAGGGGCCGAAGCACTGCCCGGTGGGGTCACGTCCTGTGTGTGTGGGAGTCCTCCGTGGCTGTCAGAACTCCAAGGCCGCCCACAGTCACTGAGGCTGGACACACACTCTTATTTAACATAACCAAGAAATGGTTCTGTATCATTTTACACACTGAATTTTTCAGGGATGCAGCCACCAGCTAAGTGGAGTAGTTTGAACTTATTTTTTTTAGAGGACTTCACTAATTACCATTTCAGAAAACCCATCACTAAGGCCACCACCGTCTGCAGACACCTGAGCATAGCTGGGTCACTGCAGCATTTGGGCTGGTTCTACCGACAGGGCAAGTTCCAGACCCTTCCTTACGTTCTCCCTCGGTAATCACGGCAAAGCACGGTGGGACATCCAACACACCTCGCTTCAGGAATTCCTGATAAATTACAGTCTGGTCTTTATATGATTTTCCTTGAAACTGAATACGAAATCTGTCCTATTCTCAGATTCATTGTTGAATCTGATACGCCTGAGCGCTCACAACCATTTATCAACTATGAGGATGGAATGTTCACTGATAACCTTCACACACAAGAACCTATTTTCAGAGTGATTTGTACCGTTAATAATTTCTGCACTCACTAAAAACATATTTTTAATGTCGGGAGAGATCAGTGGCTCTCCTCATACCCCAACTGCATTAGACACACAGGTTTTTCTTCTATACACAAAACTGCTGCAGTCCTGGGCAGCACACAGACAGTCCTCTGATCTCAGAGGAACACTGTCACATTACGGGTGGCGCACGGGAGGTGGGATCTGCCTGCACGGTCCTTCATGCCTCTACATGCCGTCTCTCTGGTCTCATGGGCTCCTCCAAGAGCAGTGGCCGCTCTTACCTGAAGTGCTTCCCCCCTCAGGACACGCCCACTCTCCCCCAACTCCGCCCTTTCCTTCCTCAGGGAGCCTTCCACAGGGTGCCACATTCTCCCAGCCCAGAGGTTAAATCCGTCTGCTCTGCCTGAGCGCCTCCCAACTTCCCTCTGGGAAGGTCCCACCCTCCTGCAGTTATGCAGGGAAGGTGGACTCTTCCCATGCAAGCAGGCGCACCTGTCCCGCGGCGCGCGTGCAGCAGCACTCCACCAGCATCTGTGAAGCTGAAGCGAGTGACAATCTGCAGGAACACCTTTCTGTAGGCTTTACAGCTATCTGGAGGGAAAGTGGGCAGGCGTATGTATGCAGAGGTATTAGGTCAGAAAACCAGTATTACAAAAACAAAGGTAGGCTACAGAGAACCCACAAGGCAAAGAAAGAGGAAAATTCTGAACACCTGGGAGCATCCCTGCCTCACCCCGTTCCACGTGGTCCTCCCCCATGCTTCCCCGCCGTGCGCTGGAACCCAGTGTCTGCACACGAGGGTGACCTGCTCTGACCCAGCGCTGACAAGAAGCTGCAGGAGCCAAAGCCACTGGAAGCCTCCAGGGCTCTCCTCCGTCTTCCTGACATGAGCTGCTTCTCCTGTTTTCTGCAAAGAAGAGGCCACATTGTCCGTGGCCCTGGATTGACTGTGTGCAGTGGGAGTGGGAACCACGGAGGGACTTCAGGAATAAGACCGAAGCCCTCAAGTGAAGGCTGCACTGTGAGGTGTCCTGATCGTAAGCAGAAGCTTCTCTGGGCCATCTCGGCAAATAACACAGCCAAGCAAGTATGAAACCAAAGCAATACGGTGAAAACACAAGTGAGATGCTCAACAACGCTGCAGCGCAGGCATGGGGGCCTCAGCGCCATCTGGACAGGTAGGCATGGAGCGGCAGAGACACTGCATTCCTGAGAGCTGGAGCCCAGGAGGAACCGGACGGCCATACTGGGGTCTTCTGGAGTATTCTAAGGATTACAGGAGGGCCTGAGGCCCAGGAGAGCAGCGGTTACGCTCGGATGAATCAAGGATCAGAGAGAAGCAGCCGCTCCATTAGAAACGGCCGCTGAGGGAAGGACACTCCTGGTGTCTCCACTCACCTTCCTTGCCACCCACAGTGGGTTGCTCTGGCATCTCCACAGAAGCCAAGGGAGGACAAGCAGAAAACCTACCGGCCTGCGGTGAGCTGAACCACTGTGGCACACAGACACTGCACAGCTCAGTTACATCATGCTAGACATACCTGGGCATCCACCTGAAAACCTAAGCAGATGCTGTGCTTGGCCCAAGACTAGGGAAATCCCAACCCTTCCCCTGAAGCTCTGGCAAGGTCGGTTTCTGGTGAAAGCAAACGTGAAAGACTGCATGGGGGTCCCTGAGACCACCCTTCAACTTGAAAGGGTACAGAGTAAACCAGCCAGGGAAAAGGGCTGGTGGGGAAGCCAGGCCCTTCCAGAGCCCCCACCCAGCGGAGTCACACAGGGTGCGCTGGATTCCTCCAGGGAGGAGCTGCGACCAGGGAGGCTCTTCCTGAACCTGGGGTCAGTCAGGGAAGTTCCAGCCACCCACAGGGAAAGCAGGTGTTTGCCATCCATCACATTGTTGGTCAACTACTCAGGCAACGCAGTGCAGCATGCTCCAGTCTCTCTCATCAGTCAGAACACGGCAAGCCCTCAGGTCCCAGGAGCCAGCCAAGGCCCTGCCTGGGAACCTGCAGGTTTGAAGAATCCAGGCCTGCTGAGTTAACCCTTCCCCATACAGGCACATCAATTCTGCTCCATCAGCAGGAGCAACAAACACCATCACCTACTTTCCTGGGCCCGAGTGAGGGAAGGACAGTGATGGGACTGGACACGTACTTTGCAGGGCACTCTCCTGCTTCTGAGGTCTGATTCTTCTGTTCTTTTAAATATGGGATCTCCAAGAGAGCCTCAACTCTATTTGATAAAAAACACCTACCGGGCGTGGTGGCTCACACCTGTAATCCCAGCACTTTGGGATGCCGAGGTGGGTGGATCATGAGGTCAGGAGTTCAAGACCAGCCTGACCAACATGGTGAAACCCCATCTCTACTAAAAATACAAAAATAGGGCGGGCGTGGTGGCGGGCGCCTACAGTCCCAACTACTCAGGCAGGAGAATCACTGAACCAGGGAGGCAGAGGTTGCAGTGAGCTGAGATCGCACCACTGCCCTCCAGCCTGGGAATCAGAGTGAGACTCTGTCTCAAAAAAAAAAAAAGAACTTCAAAAGAATGTAAGAATTATTATTTTTAAAAGTACAGTTTCAAAAATGCCCCTTAAGAATGTATCGGCCGGGCGCGGTGGCTCAAACCTGTAATCCCAGCACTTTGGGAGGCCGAGGCGGGTGGATCACAAGGTCAAGAGATCGAGACCATCCTGGTCAACATGGTGAAACCCTGTCTCTACTAAAAATACAAAAAATTAGCTGGGCGTGGTGGCGCACACCTGTAATCCCAGCTACTCAGGAGGCTGAGGCAGGAGAATTGCCTGAACCCGGGAGGCGGAGGTTGCGGTGAGCCGGGATCGCGCCATTGCACTCCAGCCTGGGTAACAAGAACAAAACTCCATCTCAAAAAAAAAAAAAAAAAAGAAGGGCAGAGAACAGCCTTCTTCTTTCTTCATACCTGTTAACCGCAGACCTCCCTGAGAGCAGTGATTTTTAGCAGCTCTCCTGTGCAAACAAGTCCTATGAAGGAAGCACTGTACAAGCCACAAATACCTTCTCACTGCGGCTTCACCTAGACTTTAACGCAAGCACTCAGAAGCACAAATTTACCTGAAATGAGAAACCAGGCCATTTTGTAACTTCAGTTTTTCTGCCAGTATTAATTAAATTAATTTCTTGATATAGCCTGATGATTTCGTTCTACTATCAAAACAGAAGCCCAATTTTGGGAGAACAATTATATAGAAATCAAACTAATTTCAATCATATTCACATAGGAATTCATATTAGTATAGGCTGAGGCTGAGGCGGGAGGATCGCTTGAGCCTAGGAGTTTGGGACCAGCCTGGGCAAGGCAGTGAGGTTCCGTCTGTACATTTGTTTAAATAAAGAAATTCAGAGAGAAGGAAGCGAACTGGTATGTCTCTACCCAAGGCCAAATTTTGTGTGCCTGTACATACAACACAACTACGAGCCTTCCCTCACACAGCTCACAACCTAGTAGCAAGGGGGAACTACAGAGGCCTGCTGAAGAAAAGAACAATGCTCACAACCCCACGGCAGGAGCCGCGCGCGTTCACGAAGCCTGTCGTCACGGTACACCCCGAGCCAGGGTTTCGCTCCGTCTCCTAGGCCGGAGTACAGAGGACTGATCTCAGCTCAGTGCAGCCTCAACCTCCCAGGCTCAAGTGATCTTCCCATCAGCCTCCTGAGTAGCTAGGACTATAGGCGTGCACCACCACACTTGGCTAACATTTACTTTTTGTAGAAACAAGGTCTTACAATGTTGCCAAGGCTGGCATCCTGAAGGGTGGGTGGGGCTTCATCCTGCAAAGATGAAAGGCAGAGGAAGCTAAGCGCTCAAAGCAAAGGGGTGGGGGACAAGGGAATCTTCGGAACAAAATGGGTGGGCTGAGACATCCAGTAGGATGCCAACAGGCAGAGGTGTGGTGGGAAAACACAGGGCCACGGGGTGTGTGCTCACATGTGAGAAACCACAGCACACGAGAGAAACATGGTGTACTAAATAAGGCTCCAAATCTCAGCCCGCAGCTGGAGAGCTACCACAGGCAACCTAGAAAGGCACAGAACAGGAGAGAAACGTGGCGCATCAGGCTTCAGATCCCAGCCTCGCAGCTGGAGAGCCACCACGGACAACCCAGAAGGGGAGAACGGACAGCGCCACGGCCCACTGCCTGAGGCTGTGAGAAGGACCAGAAACCTGTACTCACTCGCAACCCGCCACATTTCAGAAGGAATTCAGGAAACACGAAAGGCATTCACAGTACAGCAAAATAAAGTACCTGTTAATTGTGTTGGCTGAGAAGAAAGCGAAGAGTTAATACCATGTCCTAAGTTTACCTCAAAAATTCCAAACTCTCATTACTGGTGAGCCACATACCTGACTTTAAATTTTTTAGCAGCGAAACTGAAGAGGAAAATGTAATCAGGTAAAGGGTTTATAAGACACAAACAGAACAGCTACCACAGCTGCTGAGACCACGCACAGCCCCAGCTCCAGGGAGAAACAGGGCTGCCATCTCCTGGGGCTGCCCCACAGCAGGCGTGTGAGCCACAAAGCCAGCGTCTCTCAGGGTCCACGGTGACTACAGGCTTCATGGGGCCACATGCCCCCAGCACAAGCTGAGGAGACCTTCCAGGGCAATTCAAGAAACAGTCTCACAATGTTGCCCAGGCTGGTCACAAACTCCTGGGCTCAAGCGATCCTCCTGCCTTGGCCCCCCAGTGTTGGGACATCGCCTGGCTCGCATGCACTTTAGAGAAGAAGGCTTTGCATCCTGAAGGGTGGATGGGGCTTCGTTCTACAGAGATGAAAGGAAGAGGAAGCTCAGAGCCCAAGGCAAAAGAGGATGCTTAAGAAAAGTGACTCCAGAGGCTGGCCACGGTAGCTCACGCCTGTAATCCCAGCACTATGGGAGGCTGAGGCAGGCAGATCACGAGGTCAGGAGTTCCGAGATCAGCCTGAACAACGTGGTAAAACGTATCTCTACTAAAAATGCAAAAATCAGCTGGTCGTGGTGGCATGCACCTGTAATCCCAGCTACTCTGGAGGCTGAGGGAGGATAATCGCTTAAACCCAGAAGGCAGAGGTTGCCGTGAGATCGTGCCACTGCACTTCAGCCTGGGCGACAGAGGGAGATTCCATCTCAAAAAAAAAGGGACTCCATTGGGACCACGGTGAGAGGGTCCCAATACACAGCTTGGGTTAAGCCAGACACTGATTTCAAAGTATCTCCGAAATGGTGGACTCAGAACCCTTCAGGCAATTCTCTCTCTCAAGCAGGCTCCTGGAAGATATGTAGCAGTGGCTGAGATCAAGATTATGTTCTGGCAGATACTTGCTAATGGTTAAATAAAGAGCTATATGCTTTAAGGACCAGCTGAACTGGGGCAGGACTGACCCTCTGGTCAGAATACAGGAACTCAAACAAACAAGTCAGGGCGGGGTGTCTCCTCTCCCCACCCCCAAACGATAATGATCTTGGATTAGGGTTAAGTGCCTGGCCCAGTGAGTGCTCAGAAAGTGGAAACCATCATCACCATCATTAGGTAATGGAACACCATCAAAGATTTGAGCTGGCTTGTTAGCCAAGAATAGTGGTAGTGTCTTAGCTACTACTACAAATTACAGCTGACAATTACTGAGCACTCGCCCTGTGCCGGGAATTACGGGGAACACCTCGCATGCTTCTCCTCAATATTCCCTCCCAGTAACGGTGAGGACACAAAACTGGTAGAGCCAGGACTGGAATCCAGGCAGGCCCCAAAGCCCCCCACTGGAGCCTGCCAAGGTAGGCAGGCTATCACGCTAACTAGGTCCAGTATTTGACCACCACTCCTAGTTGAGCAAGCTTAACGCAAAACTTAAAACTGGTCAGTACTCTAAAAATCTGAGCAAATGGATAAAATGCAGGCTGCTAAAATGGATCATAAATCTTGCATCACTCACTGGAAAACCTCTCAAAATGAACATCTCTGAGACATGGCCCCTGAGGAGGGCACTCCATGGGGCCTGTATCACTGGTGATGAACCATGTGAATGAACCTGGTGGTCATCTGCCCGTATTTAAACGTGATGCCACACACAGAGCCACTTGGATCCATTGTGGTCAACATTTAGGATGGTTTAATCTATGATCTGCTAAACCGTAGCCTACTGGATTCCAGGTTCTCAACACCTTTATCCAATAGTAATGTCCTGCACTTACCCCAAGTATAAATAAACTAGTAAAGATGCAAATAAAAAAAGGGGGATTTAAGAATAATGAAAAGAGAAAAATCAAGAAAGCACAATCACTAATGGAGAGATAACAGAATTTCTTAATTCCCTGCAAGCAATCTACGTAAATGTATGTGAAATAATACACCAGTATCCGTAGCCCACACATCACACGTTAGGAACTGATGTCAGAATATAAGGTAAACATGTTACTCTGAAAACACAAATCCTCACAAATCAATAGGCAGTAAGGCTGAATCTAGCCCCCTCCCACCCCCCCAGTAAGGCAGGGTCTAGCAGCCATGATGCTCCCCGAAACCCAGTCCAGCCTCTGGAAACGTCAGCTACTTCCCGCTAATAAAGAAGAACCTCTCAACATTTTCACATCTCAAAACTGACCCCTTTTCCAGCTCAAATGGCACGGATCTGGAAAGATAAACTATACACAGGATCAGAAAAGATGACTGCAGCTGAGGGATCACAGAAACAGGGGCAGTCAGGTGTTGCATGCAGTAAAATGTGTCTAATGGTACTGCAGGGGAGGGGGATCAATTGAGCCGAAACTGGCAAGAAGGTAACTCCAGAGAGCCCCCAGCTGGAAGGACCCAGATTCCCTGCCGGAACGCCCAGTTCCCACACCGATGCCCAGTTCCCACACCGATGAGAACACCTCCCCCATAAATCCCTTGCCAGCACGTCCAACACGCCCAGCCCTTTCCCCAGGAATCCAGTCCCGGAATCTGCAGTTCCTGCAGCAGTCACATTCCCACACAAGTACTGCTTGAGTTCCCCAAGCCCTCCGACAGTCACCTCCCAGGCCACCTGGTAACCGCGCGGTGCCCTCGAGGGTCTATGCAGAGAATTCACCAAGACGCAGTCACCAAGGAAATTCACGGACGTCCGACTTACCAAAAAGGTTTTGCTGTAGAGAGCTGATCTTCCTCCCCCTCCTAAAACCCGCCTCCCAGTTTTCATTTCTCAAGAAGCCTTTCCCTGTGCTCACGCACGCAGTTATTAGCTGGCTTGGTGAGGCACTCAAAATAAACCAGAAGCATCTCCACCATGAAGCAGTAACAATAACGTGTCCTAATGGCTTTTCTGTCCTTGGAAAATCAACCCCAGAGAGCACAGCGGGCTCGCGGCTTCTGGGTCCGGAGGCCGAGCACTGGCCCACTCACCATTGGAGAGTGCTTGCTGAAGCTCGCTGTCCGATATCACTCCACTTCTGTCTTTATCAACCCTACGACATCAAAAAGACCAAATAAGCTGGCGATCCAAACTGCAGAAAGAGCAAAACGAACGTCTCCTGTCAGCCCTGCGCGGAGATCTGAAGGCTCCCTCCTGGAACCCCCGCCTCTCCCATCCTGCTGAGGATGGGATCAGTACGGGGGATGAAGGACGGGCCCGGGAGCCGCAGTGCAAGCGTGGTCTCCCGCTAAGAGGCCGTCATCTCTTCTCTTTCCGCACCTCAGTCCTTCCCCTCCTTCCTCTCCCGGCCTATTTGAATTCACGCCTCCACCACTTTCCCTATTTCACACACAAAAAAATTCTCAGACAACTGAGCCATTCCCTGACCATGAGTCACTACAGTTTCGATCATTCCATCAGCGGAAAAGAGGCCAGGGACAGAGTCGCCGTCGTAAAGGTCACCTGCCCCGAGCAGACGCCAGATCGCAGCTTCTTCCGTGGCTGCCAGCATTTTAACAGCGCCCAGGCAGTCTGCTTCTGCTTTCCCCAACCCAGCACCCCCGGGGACCCTCCACCTGGCGGCTCTCGGGGCGAGAAAAAGGGCCTAGCCCAGAAGCCTGGGGCCGCCACCTCGGGGCTGCAGTGGTGGACTGTGCACCTGGGAAGGACCCGAGGCACGAGCCAGGGACCGGACAGGAGGCGGGGGCGGCCGCGGGGGTCGGGGCAAGGGACGGGGGAGGACGCAGGGGTCGGGGCAGGGGATGGGGGAGAACGCAGGAGACCCGGCAGGGGACGGGGCAGGGGACGGGGGAGGACGCAGGGGTCGGGGCAGGGGATGGGGGAGAACGGAGGGGACCCGGCAGGGGACGGGGGAGGACGCAGGGGACCGGCAGGGGTCGGGGCAGGGGACGGGGGAGGACGCAGGAGACCCGGCAGGGGACGGGGGAGGACGCAGGGGACCGGCAGGGGTCGGGGCAGGGGACGGGGGAGGACGCAGGGGTCGGGGCAGGGGACGGGGGACCCGGCAGGGGACGGGGCAGGGGACGGGGGCGGCCGCGGGGGACCCGGCAGGGGACGGGGCAGGGGACGGGGGAGGACGCAGGGGACCCGGCAGGGGACGGGGCAGGGGACGGGGGAGGACGCAGGGGACCGGCAGGGGACGGGGGAGGACGCAGGAGACCCGGCAGGGGACGGGGCAGGGGACGGGGGAGGACGCAGGGGACCGGCAGGGGACGGGGCAGGGGACGGGGGAGGACGCAGGGGACCCGGCAGGGGACGGGGCAGGGGACGGGGGAGGACGCAGGAGACCCGGCAGGGGACGGGGCAGGGGACGGGGGAGGACGCAGGGGACCGGCAGGGGACGGGGCAGGGGACGGGGGAGGACGCAGGGGAGCCGGCAGGGGACGGGGGACACAGCGGGGGTCGGGGCAGGGATCCCGGCGCCGCGGCAGAGGCGGAGGCGGGAGGTGCCGGGGCGGCGCCAGGCCGCACCTCTGGAAGACGTTCCACAGGAAGCTCTGGTCCGGCAGCGCCGCGCCCGCAGCAGGGCCGGGGCCGGCCCCGGGGCCGGGGCGGTAGGAGTAGGCGGCCATGGGCCGAGGCGCGTCTGGGCTGAGGCGCGGGCGGCCGACGGAGACGGCTCAGGGCGACTCCGCTTCCGGGTGTGCCGGGGGCGGGACCTGGCGCACCGTCACTTCCGGGAACGCGGGAAATGCGTGGCTGCGCAGGGGTCACGGGGTCCCGCGCGGCCAATCCCCTGGCAGCCGAGTTGCCGGGCAACGCCCTGGCCGCCGCCGCGGGGCTGCGCGGTGAGCGGCCGCTGGAGGAGGCGGCCACGCGGGAGGCGCGCGGAGACACTGACCGGCGCCGCGCGGCGGGACTGGACGTGTTGGAGCAGAGGCCGAGTTCGCCTTTCAGTTCTTGTATGAAACGAAGTTTTGACGCGAGCGTGACTCGCACTGACAGTGGAAACTCTGGGCGGGGGCGTCCCGCGCTCGGGGCGGCGGAGGCGGGCGGCGCTGTGGCGCCCCGCGGGGCGGCCCAGCCTGGGCGGCATGGCGAAACTTCGTCCCTGCAAACGTTCCAAAGGCAGCCGGGCGTGCCGGCGGGCTCCTGCGGGCCCAGCGGCTCCGGGGGCTGAGGCGGGAGGCGGGAGGATCGCCCGAGCCCGGACGTCGGGGCGCAGGGAGCCGAGGTCACTGCGCTCCAGCCCGGCCGACCGCCAGACTGCCAGAAAAGGGAAAAAAAATGCATGCCCGGCGCGGGCGCTCACGCCTGTCATCTCAGAACCTTGTGAGGCTGAGCGCGCGCATCACCGGAGGTCGGAAGTTCGAGACCAGCCTGACCAACATGGAGACAACCCCGTCTCTGCTAAAAATACAAAATTAGCGCGAGCCCGTCATCCCAGCCACTCTGGAGACTGAGGCAGGAGAATCGCTGGAGGCGGAGGTGGCAGTGAGCCGAGATCGCGCCGTTGCACTCCAGCCTGGGCAGCAAGAGCGAAACTCCATCTCAAAAGAGAAAGCAAAACACAATTCGGGTGAGAAGCGCCGTGTGCGGCGTTCTCCGTCGTCTCCTCCGCCCTCGAAAGCTTCCCTCTGGGTGTAACCTGTGCCCACGTCCCGGGCATCAGCAGGCCCGCCCGCGTGCAGCTGGAAACACTGGGCGCCCCCCTGCCGGGCCCATCTGCTGGTCGCGCGGCCCAGCCTCGCTCCTGAGACAGCACTGCCTTGGTGCTGGGCACAGTTCTACAGTGGAGCCTGGAGTGCTTGTAGCCGAAACCTACAAATCCCCGGAATTGGGCAGTGCCAGCTTTGGGCGACTGTGATCCCTGGGTCTTTGCCCCGCGTGCGCGGGCGCGCTTTCAGTCGGCGTTCCACCTCAGTCCTGTGTCCTGTGTCCCAGTTCAGGATACTGCAATTATTCTATTTCATAGCGTTATTCTAGTATTTTATGTTCTTCAGTGCCTCCTTCCATGAACGCTACTTTTTTAATCCTCAGAGTTCCTAAGGTTTTCTCTGAATTTTCACCCAGTTGCCTACCCAGATGTTGAATGGACCCAGAGCCAAGGATGTAGTTTTTTATCAGTGGCACCTGAGACGTTCTTCCCTGTCGCTGCGAATCCATTATTCAGCACTCTGGGTACAGCTATAGATATGATCAGCTCTCCATTCTCCCAGCGAGCTCATCCTCTGTCCCATTTTTCTGTCTCTCTTCTCCACAACCATATACCTGAGGGTTCTTTCAAATTCCTCAAAGATATTTAGATACTCGCCTGTGTTAATCTACAAACCTCTTCTACAATGTGAATTTTTTTTTTCAAGATGTAGTAATTCAAGTGGTTTCTAGTGTTCTCTTCATAGACTTGTAAACCAAAAATAAAATTCTTGGCCGAGTGTGATGGCTCACGCCTGTAATCCCAGAACTTTGGGAGGCTGAGGCAAGCAGATCACCTGAAGCCAGGAGTTCAAGACCAGCCTGACCAACGTGGAGAAACCCTGTCTCTATTAAAAATACAAAATTGGCTGGGCGCGGTAGCTCAAGCCTGTAATCCCAGCACTTTGGGAGGCCGAGGCAGGTGGATCACGAGGTCAAGAGATTGAGACCATCCTGGTCAACATGGTGAAACCCCATCTCTATTAAAAAAAAATACAAAAAATTAGCTGGGCATGGTGGCGCGTGCCTGTAATCCCAGCTACTCAGGAGGCCGAGGCAGGAGAATTGCCTGAACCCAGGAGGCGGAGGTTGCAGTGAGCCGAGATCTTGCCATTGCACTCCAGCCTGGGTAACGAGCGAAACTCCGTCTCAAAAAAAAAAAAAAAAAGAAAAAAAGAAAATTAGCTGGGCTTGGTGGCACATGCCTGTAACCCCAGCTACTGGGGAGGCTGAGGCAGGAGAACGGCTTGAACCAGGAGGCGGAAGCTGTGGTGAGCTGAGATCACGCCATTGCACTCCAGCCTGGGTAACGAGTGAAACTCCATCTCAAAATGAATAAATAATAAAATTCTAAGGCCCCACCTCATCTGAATGGACTCCTCCTCTGGCACAGGGCACTCCAAAGTTGTGGATAACACCTCCCAGGGGTACCGAGGAAGGAGAACTGTTCAGACCCAGGCACAATTAGTGCCTGAATATCTTAGTTTATAGTGTTACTACTCAGCTATTTCCTTTATATAATCCTTTATATATAATCATATGTTTATAGAATTAACACCTGAAGTATATATAACTTACTGCTTACATATATCCAGCTTATATAACCATACTTAATAACTTACATCTAGCATACTTAGTTCTATGTAATCTTTCTGTATAATCATATAGGTATTGTAGCTGGAGCTGTACTGACACATTTAGTGCTGATTTATAGAATCCTTCCATATAACCATATGGTAGTTTGTAGTAGGAGGAATGCCTAGAGCAGTCACAGCACAGAAGCAGTACATGGGAAAACAGCCAGACCAGGACGAGAACCGAAGACCCAGGCGGCGGCGGCCCTGCCTGAAAGGGCACACGCTGTAAGGCAGGCTTGAAGCAAGAGCCTCTCCTGATAAAGGAGTTGTAGAACCTTGCATCCAGTTCCTGTGGAAAGTCGGCCTCAGGCCTGAGATCCTGGAAGTAACCGAGGGAGAAGAACCCCTCTGGTGTGACCAGTCACGGTGGCCGGACACAGTCCTTTCTCACTTCTGTGCTAGCTCAATCATCCTCCCATAAATATCTTAAGAGAAGAGCACAAGTCTGCCAGCTCCCACTGCATTGGCTTACAGCATCCTTCTATTAGAAACCCTTTGAAGTCTCCAGCCCCCAGATAAGAAGTGTTGCACGTGACACCTGCTGCACACAGCCCACCTCCTTGCCTCGGTGACCTAATGGGGGTGGACCCCTTTTCTGTACACGACTCTCTACTACTGCACATGGCAGGGCATCCTGCTGCGCATGCCCCACGTCTCTGCCCAAGTGACATAATGGCGTGGCCCCCTTGCATGTGACTCATGTGATTATGTATGCCCTGTTACTAAGCCTATAAACGATGACCTCACTACGTCCCTGCCCCCTAATTCTACCTAATACAGATGCTTCGGGGTATTGGGGGGGCCCTCGCTGATCTCCGCTCACAGGTGGTGTGGTCCCGTGAGTCCAGATGCTCTTCACTAGTTTTTCAGTGTCCTGTCTGTCTTCTCGGATCCTGCACCTCAGCACAGCATAAGGGACACCCCATGACCCTTTGGGGCCCCTACAGCCCTGCAAAAGTTACCTGAAAAACTGGTTCAGGCCATGACGTGAAGGGGGTGTTGGACATGCCTCCCTGTACCCTCCTGCCTTTTGGAATTCCAGGAAAGCCAACACAAACCTTAAGTGTGATGATAAATACCATCCCTTATCTCTGAAGCCTGCTACCCCAAGGCTTCATCTGCATGATAAAACACAACTTCCTGTTGTAACCCAGTCATTCCTTTCTGTTGGTAATAACTCTCAACCGATTGCCAACCAGAACATTTTGAAATCTACCTATAACCCAGAAGTCCCCACTTGGAGTTGTCCCGCCTTTCTGGACTGAACCAATGTGTGTCTTAAATCGATTTGATTGATGTCTCATGACCCTCTAAAATGCATAAAAGCAAGTCGCACCGCGACCACCTCCCGAGGGTGCGTCACAGGCAGGGTCATTCTATTTGGCTCAGAATAAATCTCTTCAAATATTTTCGAGTTTCACTCTTTTCATTGACGAAGTATTCATATTACTTGTTGAAGAATCCTTCCTAGAATCTTCCACAGCTCCTTAATCTGTAGGTTCCAAAGTCCCTCTTTCTCCTCCCTCCCATCACTGGCTGCTTTTTTGTTCTGCAGCATTCTGAAAATACTAACAACTATGATTTTGTGACCCAGTTTGGAAGTTCCTTTTACAGGGACCCCTCAGTGAGAAATAGCTCAGCACTGGATGCAGTGGCTCACGTCTGTAATCCCAGCTGGGACGCTGAGCGGGGAGGATCACTTGAAGCCAGAACTTCAAGACTAGCTTGGGCTATTTTATTTTATTTTATTTATTTATTTTTTTTTTTGAGACGGAGTTTCGCTCTCGTTACCCAGGCTGGAGTGCAATGGCGCGATCTCGGCTCACCGCAACCTCTGCCTCCTGGGCTCAGGCAATTCTCCTGCCTTAGCCTCCTGAGTAGCTGGGATTACAGGCACACGCCACCACACCCAGCTAATTTTTTGTATCTTTAGTAGAGACAGGGTTTCACCATGTTGACCAGGATGGTCTCAATCTCTCGACCTCGTGATCCACCCGCCTCAGCCTCCCAAAGTGCTGGGATTACAGGCTATTTTAAAATTAAAAAAGGAAACATCCGTGACTGCAGCTGGCCTCAGCCTCCCTCTCCCAACAGGTAGCTGGGCTCCACCAACTGCTGGCGGCGTCTCCAACCTGGAGTGCCACATCCGTCATCACGCACGGCACCCAGGAGTCTCAGTTCTGTTTTCCGTTCAGTTTTGGGGGTGGAAAATGCATTCATTCAAGGGAGGACAGACTTAATGAATGCGACCAGCTAGAGTCCACCCTAATATTTAAATATGTTACTCTGTTTAATCCTCATCATGCCACAGCACCACATCCACATTTTACTGAAGAAGACCATGGTTTAGAGAAGGTAGCGTGCCTAAGTCGAGCAGGCAGTAAGAGGAGGTTCAAGCCCAGATCTTTTTCTGCTTCTCCTATGTCTTCTCAGTGGCAGCAAGGCTGACTCTTGAAAGGGAGGTCAGTTACTATGAAATTAGGGTTTAAAGAACACCCTGCATGCACCCTCATGTCAATGTCCAAATGGGTGAGTCTAGAACAAGAGATACTGGCCTGATACATACACAACCCACGCAGCTGCCGTCCTGCCTTTTCCGTAACCGACAGGAAGGAGCCCCCAGCCCTGAATCCTGTCAGCGCCTGGGCTGTGCTGCATGGCACAACGCTGTCCTGTCCGAGTCCTCTCCACATTCTCAGAGGTGGGGGTACTGCCACTGGAGTCCTGTCCCCACGGGCAAGGCTACAGCGGAAACCACCTGCCAACAAAAAGCTCACCTCCCAGCCCTGGTTCTGTTGATGGAGTCACTGGAGCATCGAGGTACCACTATCTCCTCACCTGCCTCCGATCCAATTTCCTCCTAACCAGGTCTGTTCTAAGCTTTCCAGGAGCTGAGAAATTAACTGAAAGATATCACTTTCCTCCCTGTGTTAATGTTAATCACATAATGTATCCAAATACTGGGTGAGTCTTTCCTTTGGTCTAATTTCTCTGAGCTAATTTGAAAATGCCTTTTCTGTTTTCCTTAGATTTTTTTTTTTTTTTTTTTTTTTTTTGTCTCTGGTTGTAAAATCAGGGTAAGAAAAAAAAAAAAAAAAAAAAAGGAGTCTTGCTCTGTTGCCCAGGCTGGAGTGCAGTGGCTTGATCTCAGCTCACTGAAACCTCTGCCTCCCTGGTTTAAGCAATTCTCCTGCCTCAGCCTTCCCCGAGCAGCTGGGACTACAGGCACCCTCCACAGGCCCAGCTAATTTTTGTATTTTTAGGAGAGATAAGGTTTCACCATATTGGCCAGGCTGGTCTAAAACTCCTGACCTCATGATCCACCTGCCTCGGCCTCCCAAAGTGCTGGGATTACATGCGTGAGCCACCGTGCCCGGACTCCTTAGCTAAGAATTTTTCTGAATGTTTCTGGGCACTTGTGTTCCTGGGGCTTTCCACAGAGCACCCTCTAGTGCATCTGATGTCTTTAGCACATAGAGGCCCTCGACAAGTGTTTGCTCAATGAACAGATGATCATCTGTCCTTTGTGTGAACGAGCATACACATTACCTCGGCACATGCATCCAACAGCAACCCTCCGAAGCCACCTGGGTTCCGTTATTTTCTCAGGATCACTGACTGCTGCATTGTGACATTTGCACACAGAATCTTTCCTTTTTCAGTCACTTTCCCTTTTTCCAGATTCCAGCTGTGGAATTCCAGGGATAGAGCCAACCGTGCCTGGCACACCCTCCTGTCCTGGGACTACTTTCTCCTGTGGCTCCCGTGTTCCTTCCAACATTTTTCTGCCAGAATTCAGTATGGAAGAGAATGACCTACCATTTTCTCCCCCTTTTTTGCTCTTCTACCAAATACCGCTCTTCACACGGGCGTTTCACTGAGTAGTGGACACTCAAATAGGTGCTGTTCAGTGTGAGAGGGCGTGGGCAAAGCCCGCATCAGTGCTGGCCGATGGAACTTTCCGGCGAGGCCACCGTTCCACAGCCGCACAGTCCAGTGCAGGTCTGAGTATCTCAGACCCAGCTCACCTTTTTCCTGCCTTTGATCCATGTTAGGAATTATCCACGCCTTCTCTCTAGGCAACATTCTACCTTCTTTTTTTTTTCTTTTCTTTTTAAAGACAGGGTTTCACCATGTTGGTCAGGCTGGTCTTGAACTCCCGACCTCAGGTGATCCGCCCGCCTCGGCCTCCAAAGTGCTTAGATTACAGGTGTGAGCCACCACGCCCGGCCCGTTTTTTTTATATTGACCCAATTATTTTACTTCTTTGGTTTGTCCTTTCTCCTAGCAAGTATGAGTTCATTTTGAAACCTTGAAACCCACATTTACAAAACATTTTCAATATGAAACATCATTCCATGACTCAGTAATTAGTGGAGTACTATAAAAATTTACATTTTCAGACCACCCACTGCCCAATGGTTTTCTTGGTCTCAGTACTCATGAAAACTGTCTGAAGATTTGTTTCTGGTTCCTTAGTAGACATACACACAAGGAAGCTGCCCAGCAGTTATTTCTTGGAAATGAAATTGGCCCTTCCGTTGCGCATCCTATCATGCTTCAGGGGTGCCTGTGTATTTTTTTTTTCTTGAGTTGGAATTTTGTTCTTGTTGCCCAGGCTGGAGTGAAATGGCTCGATATCGGCTCACCGCAACCTCTGCTTCCTGGGTTCAAGTGATTCTCCTGCCTCAGCCTCCTGAGTAGCTGGGATTATAGGTATGCACCACCATGCCAGGCTAATTTTATATTTTTAGTAGAGATGGGGTGTCTCCATGTTAGTCACATTGGTCTTGAACTCCCGACTTCAGGTGATCTGCCCGCCTCCACCTCCCAAAGTGCTGGGATTACAGACGTGAGCCACCATGCCCGGCTGCCTGTGCTAGTTTTTAATTCTTTGTCCTAACACTTAAATGTTTGCTCAAACACCTGTGTTAACACTATTCTTAGTTTACAGAAGGCTTGGGGATTTACTTTCTTACTGGCTGGGATGAAGCTGCCTGAGGTTGCCAGGAGTCTCCACCTGTTGTTTTTCCTTCGTTTATTGGACCGTGTTATCCTCTTACATGTCTGCCATGGAGATTTTCAAACTGTGGTCCCTGGGCATGTTAGAAATGCCAATTCTCAGGCCTAACCAGGACTGAATGGAAGTTCTGGGGTAGGGTCCCTGCAGGTGATCCTGTTACACACCTTGCAGAACCATGGCATTAGAGGTTGCAATCTGACAGTTTTCTAATTGCCATTCTTCACTCACTTATTTGCAGGAATTCTTCCATAAAGAACATGTCCCAATCAATTAGGTTTCCCTGAATTGTGATTTGTAGAGAAAAGGCAGGATAACGCTTCTCTTCCTTCAAGCATCCATTCTCAGGGTTGTTACCTTCAAGAGTGACCAATTACATGCTTTTGTTTGGTTGGTTTGGCTTTGAAACCATCACCATGAATTCATGGTTTAGTAGAGACCACAGCCTAGGTGCTTGATGTGCCTGCTGCCGCAAGGGCAGAGCCAGGAAATGTGTATGTGAAAAGAACAAATGAGTCTATATTTCTGTTTCAAATTTAGTGTATGGTTTTACACCTTTTTTTTTTTTTTTTTGCAGAAAAATAATTATTTTTTGAGATGGAGTCTCACTCTTGTTGCCCAGGCTGGAGTAGAGTGGCGTGATCTCAGCTCACTGCAACCTCTGCCTTCTGGGTTCACGCAATTCTCCTGCCCTAGCTTCCCTAGTTCCTGGGATTACCATGCCTGGCTAATTTTGTATTTTTAGCAGAGACGGAGTTTCTCCATATTGCTCAGGCTGGTCTTGAACTCCCGACCTCAGGTGATCTACTGCTTCGGCTTCCCAAAGTGCTGGGATTACAGGTGTGAGCCACTGCGCCTGGCCTAATTTTCCTATCTTTAGTAGAGACAGGTTTCCCCATATTGGCCACGGCAGTCTCAAACTGCCGACTTCAGGTGGCCTGCCCGCCTCAGCCTCCCAAAGTGCTGGGATTACAGGCGTGAGCCACCACTCCTGGCCAGAAAAATCTTAGTTTTAACATTAACATAATTAGTTATTAGCTTCAACTCCCACCACACGTAAGTTCAAAGGGTTAATACCAATAAGACAAGTAACAATGAGATGATTGATTGAATTTGGGATTTCAGTGGCTCTATTTGTCTTTCGACTATGGCTCACTGACTTTGCACACTTGAAGTGCGGTGTTCTAGAGGTCTGACGACGCAGGAATCACAGGCTGCGTGGCCATCACCAGCCTGACGTGCAACTGGGCCGCAGAAACCCATGATGCTGCCTGGCCCAGCCAGTGCCAGGGCACTCCTCAGACTCAAACTGGACTCCGACACCACGGCACCCAGGACCTTCCCTAGGGGCCTTCTCTGCTGGATGGCGTGGGCCGAGTGTGCCCGGAATTGACTCTCCTGAACCTGTGGAGCGTGGGCTGGTGGAAGAATGCACCAACACCCACAGTGAGCACGGGCCCTGCTGCCCACGAGGTACCCGGCTCCCGGACGCCGCCGCCTCTTTCCTGCCGCACCTCCCATTCTCTTCAGCTGCTGCTCAGGGCCACCTTCCAAATTGCGGTCTCAGGACTGATGCCTTGCAGAATGCAATCCAAGGCAATTAGATTCATTCATTTCAGATTCTATTTTTTCAATTTTAGGGACTATCTTAAAAACTTAGTTTGGTGATAAGTAAAACATTTACAATTTCAAAGTCCAAAGTATTACTTCAGAATCTATTTGTTTTTTTTTTTTCCACCACTGACCCCTATCCCCTACAGCAACCACGTTAATCTTTCTGCTGTTTTAAGAAAAAGCAAGTATCTATTTGCATTGCATCACATGTACTCTGCCCCTCATCAGTAGGCGTTCCTCATTCCTTCTTCCTGTACTGAGTTACTCACTGTGGGAATTACTGTTCCTAATCCCCGACTGATGGACGTTTGTATTGTTTCCAGTATTACAAATGCCACGGTGAAGAACTGTTTTACAAACACTACTCAGGCTGTGAAGAGAACTTTCATTTCTCTGCCAGAGTGTTTTAGAGACAGATTCCTAGAATTGCTAAGTCAAAGGGTAAATGCCATGCAGTTTTTAGATGCTGCAAATCCTCTTCCACGAGGCTGCAGCATTCTGCACTCCACAGTGATGCGAATCCTTGTACCCTACAGCTTCATAAATGAAGCATGACAGCAAACCTGCCTGTTTACCAGTCACACAGCTGAGGCATTTTATCCTAGTTTCGCCTTTTTTCTTTGGTTAGCATGTTTATTACCAGCTCTTTTTGTGGTGTCATGTGCAGAAGGGACTGAACACATTCTACCCACAAGCTTCTTCCTGTGCCTTTGGAATCTGCTCCTGCCAGTCTGCAGGGAACCATGATCTGCTTTCCATATGCAGGCAAGAAGCATCTCGACACTCTCTGTATGTGGAGTCACACAGCCCATGCTCTTCAATTGCCTTCTCTAACTCAGTGTAGTGACTTTCAGATCGATCCAAGCTGCTGTGTGTGCCAACGGTGCATTCCTTCCCAGGGCTGAGGAGTGCCCATCACATGGGCGCAGCACAACTTTCCTGTCTTCTGTGGTGTGGGGTTCTCAGCTGTGCACTGCCAAAAAAGACATCATTCAAAACACACACGAAGAGCTACGTCTAACGTAAAACCTGCCTCGTCTTAGGAAAAGGTTTCCTGGCAGTGGCTCACACCTATAAGCCCAACACTTTGGGAGGCTGAAGGGGGACTGCTGGAGCCCAGGACTTTAAGACCAGCCTGGGCAAGATGGTGAAACCCCATCTCTACAAAACATGTAAAAATTAGCCAGGCATGACGCCTGTAGTCTCAGCTCCTTGGGAGGCTGAGGTGGGAGGCCTGCTGGAGCCCAGGAGGTGGAGGTTGCTGTGAGCCGAGATCACAGCACTGCTCTCCAGCATGGGAGCATGGCAACTCTGTCTCTACCAAGAAAAAAAAATTAATAGAAGAAAAAAAGGTTTTTCTTGGACCAGGCATGGTGGCTCACGCCTGTAATCCCAGCACTTAGGGAGACCTAGACGGGCAGATCACGAGGTTGGCAGTTCAAGACTAGCCTGACCAACATGGTTTCTACTAAAAAAAATACATATTAAAAATTAGCTGGGCGTGGTAGCACACGCCTGTAATCTCAGCTACGCAGGAGGCTGAGACAGGAGAATTGCTTGAACCCAGGAGGCAGAGGTTGCAATGAGCAGAGATTGCAACACTGCACTCCAGCCTGGGCGACAGAGCAAGACTACAGCTCAAAAAAAAAAAAAAAAAGTTTTCCTTACCAAAAATACACTTTAAGGAACCAATTTATAATATTAAGTTGGTGCAAAAGTAATTGTGGCTTTTACCATTGAAAGTAATGGCAAAAACCGCAATTACTTTTGCAGCAACCTAAAATTATTTTCTAATGACAAACCTGGAAGTACCTGTCATTATTCTATAAAAACAATAGCCTAAAAATAAAGAGGCAGACCATTTACTTCTACTTCAGTTCCTTCAGTATTTGGTTACTTAAACCAGCGGCCCCTAACCTCTTTGTCACCGGGGACTGGTTTCATGGGACACTTTTTCCAGGGCCAAGTGTGGGGATGGGGGATGGTTTGAGGATGAAACGGTTCCACCTCAGATAGCGGCATCAGGCTCGCATAAGCAGCGCATAACCCAGATCCCTCGCATGCACAGTTCACAGTCGGGTTCGGGCTCCCAGGAGAGTCTCATGCCACCGCTGACCTGACCGGGCGGAGCTCACACAGTCAGGCTCCTGCTGTGCGGCCTGGTTCCTAACAGGCCATGGGCTGGTAACAATCTGTGGCCTAGGGACTGGGGAGCCCTGATTTAAATAATCAAGGACACGCTTACCTAGTAAACCGTCTGTCAAGAAAAAGGAGGAAATGTTCATTTTCTCCATCCGCTCTCAGGCACCAACATCAATTTGAACTTAGAAGTAAATTACATCGAGTCCAGGCATGGTGGTTCACACCTATAATCCCAGCACTTTGGGAGGCCAAGGACGGAGGATCACTTGAGCCCAGGAGTTTGAGACCAGCCTAGGCAACATAGTGAGACCATTTCTACAATTAAAAAATAAACTGGCTGGACATGGTGGTGCACACCTATAGCCCCAACTGCTCAGGAGGCTGAGTCGGGAAGATCACTTGAGCCTCCCAGGAGTCTGAGGCTGCAGTGAGCTGAGATTGCACCACTGCACTGATCCCGTCTCCAAAAAAAAAAAAAAAAGAAGAAGAAGAAGAAGAAAGAAACTGCAACAAAATATCTGGATTTTGATGTAACAGAATGCAAAGATAATTACATTTGATATTTTAGGTCAACAAATATGACCAAAGTCATAACAGTAAAATATTTTAAGTGGATTTGGAAATAAAAAAGTCTGTTCATCTATGTTTTATTTTAGAGCTGTGTCCAGTTTTATGGTGTCACAAGAATGAAGGGAGGGGCAAAGATAAGTGCTGCAGGCCCTGGCCACTGGGTTCCTGGCACCCGGCCGCTGGGTGCCAATCTCCCTTCAGTGGACTCCTTCTTCACCAGAGTGCAGAAGCTTATAAAGACAGTTATGACATGAACATGAGCTATGATACATAATTACAAAAGCTGCTTCTGTCATCAACGCGTCTTGTCTCATCAGTAGGAGCGAATGGCTGGGGGGACGGTGGTGCAGTCAGCCTCGTTCAAAGTTTTGTCGATTACAGGTCTATATTCCAGAGTGACCTTGAAAAGAAGGGTCAGTGGTAAGGTAAGCACAAAAATGTACAAAAAGCCATCTCTCGTGTTCCTTTTGAAAATTTTTAACTATAAGGCTGGGTGTGGTGGCTCACACCTGTAATCCAAGCACTTTGGAGGCAAAGGCAGGAAGACCAACTGAGGGCGGGAGTTCAAGACCAGCCTAACGTGGTGAAACAGTGTATTTATTTAAAAAAAAAAAAAAAAAAGAAAAATTTTAACTATAAAAGTAGATTTACGGGCTGGGTGCGGTGGCTCATGCCTGCAATCCCAGCACTTTGTTTGGGAGGCCGAGGCGGACGGATCACCTGAGGTCAGGAGTTTGAGACCAGCCTGATCAACATGAAGAAAGCCCATCTCTACTAAAAATACAAAATCAGCTGGGCGTGGTGGCTCATGCCTGTAATCCCAGCAACTTGAGAGGCTGAGGCAGGAGAACTGCTTGAACCCGGGAGGCGGAGGTTGCGGAGAGTCCAGGTTATGCCACTGCACTCCAGTCTGGGCATAAGAGCAAAACTCCGCCTCAAAAAAAAAAAAAAAAAGATTTATGACATTTAAAGGTATTTGCTGCAGTATTTTTCAACAACAAATTCAAAAATGGTCTACATGCACAACGGGGGACTGTGTAAATGACGGTAAATCCACAGAGTGGAACACAGCCACGAAAATGACGCTGTGCAAGAGTCTCAGTGCTTTACAAAAATGCTCCCATCACGAAAAGTGGGAGAACCCTCGTATATACCAAAACGCTTTATGTTCAAGCTATCTACTTCCAGTTTTTCTACTTCAAAGTAAGTATTTATATAGGTTGAACATCCCTGATCCAAAAATCTGAAATTCTCCAAAACTTGAAACTTTCTGAGCACCAATATGACATTCTAAAGAAATGCGCCATGGAGTCAGATCTTCCAATTAGGGATGGTCAGACAGTAAGTATAATGCAAATATTCCAAAGTCTGAACAAGCCTGAAATCCAAAATACTTCTGGCCCCAGGGATTTTAGATAAGGAATACTCAAGCTGTGTATTAAATATGCACGCACAGTAAAAGGGAGACACACATACAAAGAAACTTAAAACCATCATGGTTCATCTCTGATTAGTGAGCTCTTATTTCAATCTCTTTGTACTTTCTAAAATGAGTATGTATTTCTTGAAAAATCACCAAAACTAGCCAGCCGTGTTGGTTTATGCCTGTTGGGGAGGCCAAGGCAGGTGGATCACTTGAGCTCAGGAGTTCAAGACTAGTCTGGGCAACATGGTGAAACCCTGTCTCTACAAAACATACAAAAATTAGCCAGGCATGGTGGCACATGCCTGGGAGGCTGAGGCAGGAGGACCACCTGAGCCTGGGGGAGGTTGAGGCTGCAGACCAAGCCACTGCATTCCAGCCTGGGCAACAGAGTGAGACTCTACCTTAGAAAAAACAAAAAGAAAAGAAAACAAAAAAACCCAAACCCCAAAACGTTAAAAACAGACTTGCGCTAAGCAAGTCAAGTGTGATTTTTATCTACTATCAGAAAATGGCCTTCATAAATCCTGAAAATGACCGACTGCCTGAATTACAGACACACTAAATGATAGTGAGTCCAAACGAAACATCCAGACGCAGGTAAATGATTATACAGCTATCCCTTACAAGCTATGAAAAGCTTAAAGGTAAAAGCTTTCCATCTTCTTCTTTTTTTTTTTTGAGACGGAGTTTCGCTCTTGTTACCCAGGCTGGAGTGCAATGGCGTGATCTCGGCTCACCGCAACCTCCGCCTCCTGGGTTCAGGCAATTCTCCTGCCTCAGCCTCCTGAGTAGCTGGGATTACAGGCACGTGCCACCATGCCCAGCTAATTTTTTTGTATTTTTTTTTTTTTTTAGTAGAGACGGGGTTTCACCATGTTGACCAGGATGGTCTCGATCTCTCGACCTCGTGATCCACCCGCCTCGGCCTCCCAAAGTGCTGGGATTACAAGCTTGAGCCACCGCGCCCGGCCGCTTTCCATCTTCATTATTTCTGAATCTTAATGTCCACTGGCAATGCCACACGGCGAACTGCACTTGGGTGGAACAGCCCGCAAGCCCCCAGCACACCCTCGGCTGGCTGTTACCAGGACCCTGCTCACCCAACCCCCTCCTCACTTTCTGCCCTTCTCTGCCTGCTCAGTGCCCAGGGGATGCTAAGGGCTGCACCGCACCCCTCAGCTCTCCTGCTGCTGCTTCCAGGTAGCCCAGCCCGTGGGAACAGAGGGGAGTGGTCTCTTCTGGGCTCCCTGGGCTTGGGACAGGTTTCTGGTAGTGGCTGTGTGTCCCCACCCCAGACCTTGACTTCTCGCTAGGTCTACAATCATCGTGTCCTCCCCTGCCACCAGGCCTTGGACACTTGCTCCTGTCCAGTGACTTCCATCTGGCCCACACTACGGAGCAGCCCTTCCTAAGGCTCCTCTGAACCACTCGCAGGCACTGGATTCTGTTTCCAGCCAGAAGCCTGACTGACAGAGTGCTTTCTCGGTGGTGCCTCACATCTGTCTGCGCTGGCTTAAATCTGGCCTACTCCTCCCCGTTCACCATCAGCAGGGCCAGCCTGCAGACCTGGGTGGGGCCATGTGGATGTCGGGCTGTGGTGAGAACAAAGTCCACACTGACCTTCCCAGTGCCCACGTCCACATAGGACAGGGTGTGCTTCCTCCAGTGCTCCTCAAAGGGCTTCTTCTGTTGCCCCTGGATGGGCTTGGAGTAATCATACTCATCAATCCGCACCTGAGGCCAGAAACACCATCACATTTCTTATTACTCTAATGGAGCAATACAGAGAAACACAGCAAACACCAAAATGACCTAAGAGACACATGGCCTAGAACTCATTCCATTTCCACTTCAGCCCAGGAGGTTGGCACCATCAACATGCTCCAAATCCACTGAGGCCACGTGGCTGGCCAGTGGTGAGGTCAGCAGTGAGTCTAGAGTAATCCATGCCTGCATTTTCCCTTAGACATCCTTCATGTACCTAAGAGTTTATCGGATACTTTGTCTTTTTACTCCATGCTCTGGGAGACTACCTCAACCATTTCTTTCAGCGTGTTTCTATTTAAAAAAAAAAAATTCTTTTTTCTTTTGAGACAGGGTCTCGCTATGTCACGTGGGCTGGAGTGCAGTGGTGGGATCACAGCTCACCGGAGCCTTGACTACCCCAGCTCAATCAAACATCCTCCTCAGTCTCCTGAGCAGCTGGTAATTTTTTATTTTTTTTTTAAGAGACAGGTTTTGTCATGTTGCCCAAGCTGGTCTAGAACTCTGGGGCTCAAGTGATCTGCCTGCCTCAGCCTCCCAAATGCTGGGATTATAGGTGTGACCCACTGTGCCTGGCTTATATTCTAATTAAAACTTGTTGTGATCAACTAAATTTATGCTACTGGCAGGGCATAGTGGCTCACGCCTGTAAGTAATCCTAGCACTTTGGGAAGCCAAGGTAAGTGGTTCACTTGAGGTCAGGGTTCAAGACCAGCCTGGACAACATGGTGAAATCCTGTCTCTACTAAAAATACAAAAATTAGCCGGGTGTGGTGGTATGCACCTGTAGTCCTAGATACTCAGGAGGCTGAGGCAGGAGAATCGCTTGAACCTGGGAGGTAGAAGTTGCAGTGAGCCAAGATCGCACCACTGCACTCCAGCCTGGGTGACAGAGCGAGCCTACTTCAACTCAAAAATAAAAATAATAAAATAATAATAATAAAAAATGTATACTACTGTCTGTATTCTGGCAAACACAGATTCATATACTTTGCAAGAAAGACTCTTAATATGTACAAAGAGGAAGAACAAGTTCTACAGCCATCAGCATACTCTAGTGGAGGGTAAATCAATAACATTTCACAGTAAATACAAGTGATTTTCCCATTCACTGTGTTCTTTCCCAGACCCCAGGGCAGGTCACCAAAGTGCAGGAGCTATAAGACCTTTCCCAGACCCCAGGGCAGGTCTGAAATGCTGACTGACTCATTCTTTAATAATCTAGCATTTCCTGGCCATGCTACTCCAGCTGCACGGCTAACCTTGGTCCTCTAACTGCAAAGCACTTTGGCTTGGAGATGCCCCTGCTGGCATCAGTGGACGCTGACCCAAGGCAAAGCAAAGGTCAGTGTTGCAGAAGATGGCAAGAACCCAGGGATCAATGTTACCAGGGGGAAAAGACACTTTTTGGATTTACTTTTGGGGAAATGGAATGAAATGTGGAGAAAATGCAGGGGTGGGGTTGAGTCCCACCAGGTGGGAGAAAGCGGCAGGTGCAGGTGGGCGTGGCCAGAAGGCGCACCTTGTAGTCTTCTCTGGCGTGCGCACCCCGCGACTCCTTCCGTGCCTCCGCTCCGTAGATGGTCTGCAGCGCACACAGCATCAGGTTCTGCAGCTCCAGGGTCTCCACCAGGTCCGTGTTCCAGACCATTCCTGGGGACACATGAGGATCCATCAGGGGCAGTCGCATGGGCCCTCCGAGCTGTCTGCCCGTATCTGCTAGTCCCAGAGCCTTTCCCGGTGGTGGCTTTATAGCTGTGGGCCAGGACCCATCCAGACAGCAGGCGTGGAGCTAACTCAGCCACTGGCTGGATAGACACTAGCCCACCTGCAAAAGGCGCGGCCCAGTCGTGTGTGCGGAGCCTGCTGTCTGCTCACCCCTGTCGAACGTCTTCAGGTGCTTCAGGTCTCCATAGAGTTTGCTGATTTTCTCACAGCCTTCTTGCAGCACGCTTCCCACACGGAACACGGCAGCATGATTCTGCATGGACTGTGGCACAAAATCATTTGTAAACTTTTAATCCACAGAAGCAGCCACACCAAGAACTGCTTAACTTTCAGAACCGTTGTTTTGCATTTCATTTTATTTAAAAGTTATGTAATTAAACAGAACAATGAGGAAACTCAGACTATGAGTTCATTACTCTGAACTTAAAAATGAAGTTCTGGGCCGGGCGCGGTGGCTCAAGCCTGTAATCCCAGCACTTTGGGAGGCCGAGACGGGTGGATCACGAGGTCAAGAGATCGAGACCATCCCGGTCAACATAGTGAAACCCCGTCTCTACTACAAATACAAAAAATTAGCTGGGCATGGTGGCGCGTGCCTGTAATCCCAGCTACTCAGGAGGCTGAGGCAGGAGAATTGCCTGAACCCAGGAGGCGGAGGTTGCGGTGAGCCGAGATCGTGCCATTGCACTCCAGCCTGGGTAACGAGAGCGAAACTCCGTCTCAAAAGAAAAAAAAAAAAATGAAGTTCTGACTGCTTCTGAAAATGTTTCTATTAACTACACATCTTAGACCCACACACGTGTTTTCCAGTGGGACACAGCTACAGACTGCCTGTGAGGTGCCATGTTCCATAAGGCTCTGCGGCCAGCCAGGCAGCACCCGCTCCCCACACCCCTGGTGGACACAGGACCACACGGGACTCCCGACGTGGGGTCTGGTGGTAAATGTGTGGTGATACACACTAGGAGCTGAGCAGGGTGCTGATGATGGTGGTGTAGGAGCCAAAGGTCTTTGAGGAGAGGGAGGGCGTGGGTGGCTGAGACCTGTGGCCCATCTAGCTACTGTCTTCGGCCTGTTTTGCAAAAGTTCCTCGTACTCTGGGGTCCGTCACAGTTTCACGGTGATGAGGAGCGTGCTATGAGGCAGACCTGAAGTTTTTTGGAGGTACGCTGGGAACTGGGTGTCAGTGTTTGCTTCCTGTGGGACGGACAGGCACCACTTCCCCGACCCCACCTCCTCCTCGCTTCTCCCTCTAACTCTGCTTTGCTCCACTGACCCTAATTGTCTCCTCCTCTGCAAATGCACCTTCGTGGTTTAATTTGAACATTTCATCTGATTTTCCTTAGACTGATACATAACTGTAACACTGTAATGCACATCAACCTAGTGGTTTTTCAGGAAGAACAAATGAAAAAACTGCATCTTAGAATGTAGTAAGTTTCACATTCTTTCACATCCTTTAGCAGGATGCTTCATATCTGTTTTACATATTTCTAGTTACATTTATTCAAGGCATTTTTTGTATTTTGTCTGAAAGGTGAATGAGGTATTTACTGACGTCTGAGTGGATTCCTGCTGGCACACTGAAAAGCTACTGACATTTACCTACAAACTTCTCATCCAGACACCTAACTACATCCTTATTGTGTTTCTATTAGTTTTTCAGTTTATTCTCTGGGAACTTTTTGGAAATTGTGTCTGTAAATAATGGCAATTATATCTATTCCTTTTCAATATTTACCTCATGTTTTTAATTCTTACTATTAATAGCCAGAGTCAGCACAAAAATCCCTCCAATGAAATGCATTTTCCACGAGCACAGGAACTTCTGTTTGTTCAGTGCTGACACCAGCATCTCACAGAGCCTGGCATACAGACACACCTTGTTTGGTAGGAATGCTTCCAGTATTCTCACTTCAAAATATCTCATGAATTTGCCATTTCTATATCCTAAGGCACCTTCCCATTCTCTAGTGCAATGATTCCTTCTTTCTTAGCTGGCCTCCAACCCTACAAAAGTCCTGCAGGGCATCCCTCAGCCTTCTGTGCCTCAGTCATGCTGTTCTCAGCATTCCACAAAGCCTCCCTCAAGCCCAGCCTCACTTAAAGAATGAAGTGCACAGGCCTCTGAGAATGTCAGCAGGAAACTTTGCTCTTGTGCCTGTGTGTCTGCAACACCAAACGCCTTCGGAATAGGACAAAATCATGGACTTTGTAGAAAATACTCACACAGAAATTCTTGCCAACAGTAAACAAGAGATCTCATTCATGGACAAGAATCCTTGTTATTAGAGGATCTCAGTTTCTTTTTTATTTTTTTTATTTTAAGACAGGGTTTCACCATGTTGGTCAGGCTGGTCTTGAACTCCTGACCTCAGGTGATCCGCCCGCCTTGGCCTCCAAAGTGCTTGGATTACAGGCGTGAGCCACCACACCCGGCCAGGAACTCAGTTTCTTAGACTGACTATATACCAAGTTCTCCACAGCCCCCCGTGGCTAGTGCTCGCCACACTGGACGGCAAAGGGCTGGAACATTTCTGTCATCACGGCCGGTCCTACTAGACAGGCCTGATGTGGGAGGCTGACTCCCAGCAGCACAGGCTGCAGAGATGAGTTTCCACCTGCTGCCCACTCTCCCCTTCTTCTGAGTATATTTAGGGGCAGCAAGAGGCCCAGCTTAAAGACATTTCCGAGCTGCTGGAAGCCAGGTGTGATGACACGGTCAGTATCTGGGCCTGAGATGTAAGCACCAGTGTTGTGCGCCCTGCTGGGGACTGAGCTTCTCAGGCGTCCTGCGGCTCCCTCTCCTCCACACTGTGACTCATCCATGGCAGCCAGCGATGGTCAGAGCACGGAGGCCGCGCCCAGGCACGTTCGAGTGAACCAGAGAAGGCTGTCCTGCATGCTGATCTCTTTCATTCTTTTAAAAAAAAAATTTTTTTTTTTTTTGAGGAGTCTCGCTCTGTCACCCAGGCTGGAGTGCAGTGGCGCCATCTCAGCTCTCTGCAACCTCCACCTTTTGAGTTCAAGCGATTCTCCTGCTTTGGCCTCCTGAGTAGCTGGGATTACAGGTGCCCACCACACCCGGCTAATTTTCATATTTTTAGTAGAGAGGGGGTTTCCACATGTTGGCCAGGCTGGTCTCAAACTCCTGACCTCATGATCCACCCACCTCAGCCTCCCAAAGTGCTGGGATTTCTTTCATATTCTTGACACAGTGAGGAGTATGTCCTCCTGCCGTTTTCCTCCGGATCCTGGTGCAGCCTGGTACGTTCATCACAGCACTAGTCACAACAGCAAAGTCATGAAATCCACCTAGGTGCCCATTAACGGATGACAGGCACATATGCACCATGGAATACTACTCAGACATAAAAAGGAACTAGATCGTGTCTTTCACGGCCACCCGGATGGAATGGGAGGCCATTATCCTAAGTGAAATAACTCAGAAGGTCAACTGTCACACATTCTGACTTGGAAGTGGGAGCTGAACAGTGAGTACACATGGACATACGGACATACGGAGTAGACTAATAGAGACTCAGGGCTCTAAAAAGCAAGAGGGGTGGGGATGAGCAATTACTACTGGGTACAACATACACAACTCAGCGGGGCACAGTGGCCCATGCCTGTAATCCCAGCACTTTGGGAAGCCAAGGCAGGTGGATCACCTGAGGTCAGGAGTTCGAGACCAGCTGGCCAATATGGTGAAACCCAGTCTCTACTAAAAATACAAAAAATTAGCTGGGCATGGTGGCAGATGCCTGTAATCCCAGCTACTTGAGAGGCCAAGGCAGGAGAATCACTTGAACCCAGGAGACAGAGGTTGCAGTGAGCTGAGACTGCGCCATCACACTCCAGCCTGGGCAACAAGAATGAAACTCTGTCTCAAATAAATAAATAAATAAAAAGCAAAGCGCACACTCCACCACAGCACATCCACACAAAACCGCACCTGTATCCCCCTAAATCGGTAGCCAGTGCCCATCTGCTGCAGCGTGAGTCCAGGCTCTTACCTTCTGCATGCTGAGTCGCAGTTCCGACGTTCTTATGCTTCCATCAGCAAATCTCAGCTTGTCAAGGTTCATGACAGACTCTTCCCCAGCATTTGGTTTAATTGGAGGGACTTTATCTCCTAAAAAAAAATCAAAATTTTTTAAAAAGCTAGAATTTAACTTTTGAAAACTACTTTAAAAAACCAAATGGATTTAGAATGACACGCAAATACACAGCCCAGCCACTGAGGGTGCCTGGAAGCCGCAGGCAGCTCCTGAGCTGACACATTACCAGCCTACCCCACAACTGAGGCCATCTATTGAGCTGGGGCCAATTTTAAAGAACACACAGAAAGGCAAAATTGTTAACACACAGTAGAAATCCATTAAGTGATCTTAGAGTGAACAAACTAGATATCATCTCTAAAATTAAAAAATTAAATGTAGCCGGGGCAGGGTGGGTCACACCTGTAATCCCAGCACTTTTAGGAGGCCGAGGTGGGTGGATCACTTGAGGTCAGGCGTTCGAGACCAACTTGGCCAACATGGCAAAACCTTGTTTCTACTAAAAATACAAAAATTAGGTGTGGTGGTATACACCTGTAAACCCAGCTACTTGGGAGGCTGAGGCATGAGAACTGCTTGAACCCAGAAGGTGGAGGTTGCAGTGAGCCGAGACTGCACCAGTGCACTCCAGCCTGGGCAACAGAGTGAGACTCTGTCTTTAAAAAAAAAAAAAAATTAAATGTATACAAATTTATATACTCCACTAAGGGAAAAAAAGACAGCTCCAGATGGTGGTCCTGACTGGCTGGCCACCTCACTGTCCTTTGCATCGGGGGAGGAAGGTGGCTGCTGTGTGCCTGAAAGTCACTTGCTGATTCAAACTCTTGTGTGTGCTCTCACCTAGACTTCAAGATTTGCAACTTTTTTTTTTTTTTTGAGATGGAATTTCTTTGTAGCCCAGTCTGGAGTGCAGTGGCACCATCTCGGCTTCACTGCAACCTCCACCTCCTAGTTCAAGTGATCCTCCTGCCTCAGCCTCCCAAGTAGTTGGAATATTTCACCACGCCTGGCTAATTTTTCTGTTTTTAGTAGAGACGGGGCTTCACCATGTTGGCCAGGCTGGTCTCAAACTCCTGATCACACCATTGCACTCCAGGCTGGGTGACAGGTGGAGGAGACACTGTCTCAAAAAAAATAAAAGAAATTATAGAACTGTGCACCAAAAGAAAAAAGTCAATTTTACTGAATGATCAATTTTTTTTTTTTTTTTTTTGAGACGGAGTTTCACTCTTGTTACCCAGGCTGCAGTGCAATGGCACGATCTCGGCTCACCGCAACCTCCGCCTCTAGGTTCAGGCAATTCTCCTGCCTCAGCCTCCTGAGTAGCTAGGATTACAGGCATGAGCCATCATGCCCAGCTAATTTTTTGTATTTTTAGTAGAGACAGGGTTTCACCAAGTTGACCAGGATGGTCTCGATCTCTTGACCTCGTGATCCACCCGCCTCAGCCTCCCAAAGTGCTGAGATTACAGGCTTGAGCCACCGCGCCCGGCTGAATGATCAATTTTTAAAGCAATAAACAAAAGGAAAAGAAACAGCAGCAAGCCTAGAACCATGTGAGCAGAGCCTCAGGAGGCCCCCAACCCGGTCCCTTGGAGAGGCAGTGGGCAGGCATGACCTGTTTGTCTTCTTATAAGAGGATATTCTTATAAAATGTTCTTTTTTGCATTTTCAAAGAGAGAAGCTCAAAATTTCTTTTTTTTTTTTGAGACGGAGTTTCCCTCTTGTTACCCAGGCTGGAGTGCAATGGCGCGATCTCGGCTCACTGCAACCTCTGCCTCCTGGGTTCAGGCAATTCTCCTGTCTGAGCGTCCCGAGTAGCTGGGACTACAGGCATGTGCCACCATGCTCAGCTAATTGTTGTATTTTTAGTAGAGACAGGGTTTCACTACGTTGACCAGGATGGTCTCGATCTCTTGACCTCGTGATCCACCCGCCTCGGCCTCCCAAAGTGCTGGGATTACAGGCGTGAGCCATGGCACCCGGCCGAAGCTCAAAATTCCTATACTGCTCTGAGAGAAGTGGTACCAGTCCTTACTGCTACAAAGTGCAGGGCTATGGAGTGAGACAAGCACTATCTGTGGCTTCAGGAGAGACGGACCTGAACTCTGCCTTTGCCAATGATCAGCAATGACCTGGGACAAGACGCCACCTCTGCATGTGGCAGCCTCCTGAGCTGTGGTCAAATCCAGAGACTGAGTGTGTGAAACGTAAGCTACCCTTTTAATACAACCTGTACCTTTTAAACCACAGATACAAAAGGGGGTACATGTTTATAAGTTATGACACTGCTCATTTTTATTTCACTTGAATCCACACAAAAAGTACCAGTTCGGCCGGACATGGTGGCTCACGCCTGTAGTACAAGCAGTTTGGAGGCCAAGGCCAGGGATCACCTGAGGTCGGGAGTTCAAGACCAGCCTGACCAATATGGTGAAACCCTTAAAAAAAAAAAAGCACCAGTTCTACCAGTGCCTCCTCCACCTCACACTGTTCTGAGCAAACGAGGCTGGATGACCACCGTGAAGATCTCTGAAGCGAGAGTGATGCTAAGTGTCCAGATTTTAGGGCACATAAGACTCAAGCTCCAGCACATGGTAATTCTTCTTCTGCACACTATTCTATGCTATCATGAAAAGAAAACCAGCGAGCGAAATCCACTGTCACTGGAGGGTGGGAATCCTGTTCGCTTTAAGTCACCCCTTATCCTCTAATAGAGATTAGTTGCACTTTGTTTTTAGAAGGGCCTAAATTATTTTTCTAAGTTCCGAGAACTTACATATTCATTCATGCCAATTACTTAAAATATTTCATTGCAAACAGTGCTTTTTATCAGGCAAGTAATATGTAATGAACTTCCCCTAAAAATAACAACTTCCTAATAGTGCTTTTTCTAAGCAGAACATAATGACTGCAAAATAATTTTTTAGAAATGTAACCCCCAAAAAATCACCTTAATAGTTAAGATTCCCAACCAGCCTCTATCTGATATCAGCATTACCACCAGATAATCTCTAGATTTCTCAGTATAATCACTTCTAGGAGAAAAAAACCAGACTACTTCTATATGATCACTAAGCAAATTTCCAGAAGAAATCAAGGCTTTGTAACCTGGCTGGGTGCAGTGGCTCAAGCCTGTAATCCCAACACTTTGGGAAACTGAGGCAGAAGGACTGTTTCAGTCTAGGAGTTCCAGATCAGCCTGGGCAACATTGTGAGACCCTGTCTCTACAAAAAAAAATTAAAAAAAAAAAAAATTAACCAGGTGTGGTGGTGCACACCTGTAGTCCCAGCTACTTGGGACTCTGAAGGTTGAGGTGTTAAGGACTGCTTGAGCCCAGGAGGCTGAGGCTGCCATGACTGTGCCACTGCACTCCAGCCTGGGCTGACCCTGTCTCAAAAAAAAAAAAAAAAGACTTTGTAACCTCCTGCCTTCTCAAATGGTCTGGCTTCTGAAGAAAACACTCACCAGGCCTGCATGACTCTTCGATGCTCAGGGCACAGGCCCGGCCAAAGACAACCAGGTCCAAGAGTGAGTTTGCCCCAAGACGGTTGGCACCATGGACTGAGGCGCAGGCGGCCTCCCCACAGGCATACAGGCCGGGCACGATCTGATCCTGGCCATTCACGTGCCTCAGGACCTGTGGAAAAGAAGATTTCAGGTGAAGATTTCAGATGGTCAAGGTGCCCATGCCTCCACAAGCCCACCTTCCCCAACAGGGTATCTGTGCTACAGGTCAGAGAGAGGAAAGCAGGCCGGGCGCAGTGGCTCATGCCTGTAATCCAACACTTTGGAAGGCTGAGGCGGGTGGATCACCTGAGATCAGGGGTTCAAGACCAGCCTGGTTAATATGGTGAAACCCTATCTCTACTAAAAGTACAAAAATTAGCCAAGCATGATGACGGGTGCCTGTAATTCCAGCTACCTGGGAGGCTGAGGGGGAAGAATCACTTGAACTTGGAGGTGGAGGCTGTAGTGAGCTGAGATCGCGTCACTGCACTCTAGCCTGGGCAACAGAGTGAGACTCCATCTCCGGAAAAAAAAAAAAAACAAAAAAACAAAAAGAGAGGGAAGAAAAGAGCACATCTAAGAGGGAAGTAGCTACTCTTCTTCAGAAGGAAACTTCCGAATATATCCCCCCGTTTCCTCTCTGCCCTGAGTACCTGCTGTTAGAAGCAGGTCAGAGGACCTCCAATGTCAGCATCTGTGACTTCTCCATGTCCTGTGTCCCCAGGGACCTCTCCTACCTGTGATCTGGCTCAGACCCGAGAGCACAGCAGGTAGAGCAGGGGAGACCGATGTTTCAGACTCTTCTACTCCCTGTTCATCTATTCATTCATCTACGCAGGGTGAGTAACAGCTTCCACCCACCTCACCCGACAAGGAGCCTAAGTGACCAACAAGCTCTATGTGAACTGCAGACCACTCAAAGGTATGAATTATAAAGATCCCTCGATGTACAAGATCATTATAAATTACACAACATCATACAGGAAAATAATTGTAAAATGGAGAAAGCTGCAAATGATGTATCCATGACAACCTCCTAAGGAGGAATAAATTATTAACCTCCGTCCATCCTCTGATAAATTTAAAGTGCAATCTATAAAACAACACAGTACTTTCTTGAAGAAAATCTGTCTTTTCCTCTAGATCTAAAGAGACAACTGCAAGGTGGGCCCCGCGGTCCCGGGCTTCTTTCCAGCTGTGGGAGAGGACCTGGCACCATCACCTGCCCCTTGTAGTTGGTGGGAATGCCGCCCATGTTATAGTGCACGGTGGGGAGGACAGGGATCGGCTCCTTCGTGACGTCCACGCCGGCAAAGATCATGGCTGTCTCTGAAATGCCAGGCAGGCGCGTGGCCAGCTGCTCTGGAGGCAGGTGGTGCAGCTGCAGGTAGACGTGATCTTTCTCAGGGCCACAGCCTCTGGTAAGACAGGACACCACCACATAAGGCAGAGAACAGTAATGGCAGGAAGCCTGAGACGGAAGCGTGAGTTTCCACATTTTTTTGATACTGAGGAAAATTTCCCCTCATGTATGGCCACCCTCTCATCAAATCTTTTCTAAATGTCTCCTCTGTGCCAGGGACAATCCTAGGTGCTGGGACACAGCTGAGAACCAGAACAAAAACCCTGCCCTCACTGAACTCACACTTGTCTTGGGGCTCACAGCCTGCTGCGGCTGTCCTCGGTAATTGCATCACAAAGGCCTCTATACCAAATAGTCGTCCCTGTGTATCCATGGCAGTCTGGCTCCAGGACCCCCATGGATACCAGAATCTGTGGATGTTCAAGTCTCTAATACAAAAGGGGAGAGTATCTGCATATAACCTATGCACATCCGCCTCCAGACTTTAAATCATCCCTCATTTAAAGCTGTACATTTCAGTTTTAGGACAACTCCAGGATTGCTCACAGTACCTAACGCAATGTAAATGCTATGTAAATAGTTGTCATGCTGTGTTGTTTAGGGAACAATGACAAGGAAAAAAGTCTGCATGTTCCGTAAGGATACAATTGTATTTTCAACACATAGTTGGTTGAAACCACACATGTGGAACCGATGGATATGGAGGGCCACCATATCCAAAAACCATTTGACTTCTTTTTTTAAATATAAAAATGTGAAACCTCTAAAGGCCATACCAGCAGACACTCAGCAAGTGTCATTACATTAAGGAACAGGGTCAGGCAATGAAAGAGCTGCAAATTGTTTTACTGAAAGCCAAATAACCCACACCCTTTGAAGGCTGCTGACAACATCTGTGGGTATCAGACACAACGCCCGAGCTCACATGCCAACCTCAGGTTCCACAGATTTGAGAAAGAAACTGGCTAAAATTTTCAAAATGTAGGTCTTTAGGAAAATATCACAGACTAACAGATGCCAGCCAGCAGCTGAGAGAGGTGGCTGTGCACGTGTGCCTGCACACAAAGGCGAGGGCGGGCAGTGCTGAAACTCAGAAGCAACCCCGGCCCTGATGCTAAAACAAACATGAAGTCACCGAAGAGGAAGTGAAGGGAAGGAGAGTGTGTGTGTGCCGGTGTGCCTGCTCAGACAACGCTGGTGATAAACACACGGACCTTCCTTCGCGGATCTCCAGAGTCATGGACCGAGACACCACGTCTCTGGACGCCAGGTCCTTTGCGACGGGGGCGTATCGCTCCATAAACCTTTCGCCCTGACTGTTAATGAGAATGCCTCCCTCTCCACGACATCCTTCCGTGATGAGACAACCAGCACCATATATGCCTGAAAAAAACACAAACATTTATAACCTAACAATTGCTAGGTCTCTATTTCAAATGCACTATTTTTTTCAAGGTATTTTTTGCAGTAGAGAGGAAAAAGATATGCAGAAGGCATCATATGCAAAACTGAATAGAAAGAAGAAAAGTTGAGATACAGTAGAAAGTCTGGAGCCAAAAAGCACCGACGAGGCTGGCGGTGCAGCAGGTCTGGGCAGAGCGTCCCCAGTGAGCAGAAAGGACAGCCCTCAGAGCTCTGGCTGTACTCTGAGTACAGCCTGGTGCGGTTAAATGCCTCAAATGTGATTTTAATTTTTCAGCATTCTTTTGCACTATGATACTGTGGTGACTACTTTAGTTAAGAATAACCAGGCTGGAGAATTCACATCTAAATTACCCAAGATTATTCTAGTTAATACACTGTACTTGCCATGAACGGTTCTAACTGCTTTCCGAGTATTAACTCATTTAAGCATTACAGCTCCAGGCAGTATGACCCTCATTGTCACTGACAAGCGCATTCATGCTGGTAACATCCAGTCATGCAGCTGAGGCCAGAGCTCAAACCCCAACCTGGGCAGTCCGGTGGTCTGTGCTCCGAACAGCGGCTCTGTGACTCCTCAACGCATGAAAACCAGGGCATGCCGAGCGCTCAGATTTTAACAAAGGAGATCAAAAACCCACCAAAACCTCTAAACTAAATGTATTTCAAAAGCTACAATTTGTATTAGAATAAAAAAGGGGAATCTTGCTTTTAAAACAAGAATGTGATTCTTGCATCTCACCTGCCTTTTAATTTTCTAAGTTTCAATGCTCTTTTTTTTTTCAATGCCCTCACATATTGAAGACAAAGCCTGAGAAGTGGAGCTCTAAGCAAATTACAGAGGAAATTCAGGAGGTCAGTGACATTTTATTGGTTAAAAACAGTATTAAAAAACACAGGCTAGGGGCGGTGGCTCATGCCTGTAATCCCTGCACTCTGGGAGGCTGAGGCAGGTGGACTGCTTAAGCCCAGGAGTTTGAGACCAGTCTGGGCAAAATGGTGAAACCCTGTCTCTACCAAAAAAAAAAAAAAAAATTAGCTGGGCATGATAACGCATGCTTGTAGTCTCAGCTGTTTGGGAGGCTGAGGTGGAAGGATTGTTTGAGTCTGGGAGGCACTGGCTGCAGTGAGCCAAGATTGCTCTACTGCACTCCAGCCTGGGCAACAGAGCAAGACCCTATCTCTAAACAAATTTTTTGAAATCCACAACAAATACATTTTTTATTTTCAGCCCTGCCAGGGATCAGAAAGATGACACTGAGAGAGAGAAAGAGAAGACACAGGTCTGGTCCTTTAGCACCACTGCAGGGTCTGCGCAGTCCACAGGTCAGAAAAGCAATCCAGGAAAGTCACATCAAACAAGAGGCACATGTCTCTCTCTCTGACTCATTTCTGAAAAGCCTCCCCCAAATTTAAGACTTCAACTGTCATTTCTGTGTTAATGTCTCCAAATTGCACATTCGTAACTTCAACCATCAGACGTCCCCAAGGTGAGTTCATCTCCCCCTGGACGAAGCTCCCTCAGTGGTCGTGTGGGCTGAGCCAACGCCCAAATGTCATGTCACAGCTGGTCCTAACTTTGCACCCCACTATCACTGGAGCTCCATGTTCTCCTATGAAGCTGAAGTCTGCCTGTGCTGTTCTCGGGTCCACGCATCCTCCCAGCTCTCAGGGTGCTCACTCAGGAACCCTGATGGAGGCCCTGCCACGTGCTGGGCTGGGAGAACCCTGGCCAATGAGAAGACCTGCCTGCCCCTGAGGAGCAGATGAACTCGTTGCAAAGAAGGACACTGAACAATCCCTGCCTTTTTTTTCGCAAGACGGAGTCTTACTCTGTTGCCCAGGCTGGAGGGCAGTGGCGCAATCTCAGCTCACTGCAACCTCCGCCTCTCAGGTTCAATCAAGCGTTCCTCCCGCCTTAGTCTCCTGAGTAGCTGGGATTACAGGCACTCGCCACCATGCCTGGCTAATTTTTGTATTTTTAGTAGAGATGAGGTTTCACCATGTTGGCCAGGCTGGTCTCGAACTCCTGACCTCTGGTGATCCGCCTGCCTCGGCTTCCCAAAGTGCTGAGATGACAGGTGTGAGTCACTGTGCCCGGCCTCAATCCCCGCTCTACTGCTGGGATAAGTATCACCAAGGCAGGGTTTAGGGTTCTTAAGGAATGCGTAAGATGGTGGCCCAAACTACCTTAGCGAGGTGTGGGCACAGTCTCCCTAAGGAAATGACATTTAAGTCAGGACCTGAGAGCTGAGAAAGCAGAGAACTATGGCAGAGCAATGAGTAGGCACCACATGCTCACGAGACACACGAGGCCGGTGCCTGCAGGGAAGGCGCCGTGCCCTACCTGTGGGGTGGAACTGGACGAACTCCAGGTCTTGGCAAGGAAGGCCTGCCCTGGTGACCATGGCCGTGCCATCACCGGTGCTGGTGTGGGCGGACGTGCAGCTGAAGTAGGTGCGCCCGTAGCCTCTGGAAACAAGAGAGCAGTGACTGCGCACAGCGGCCCACGTCCAGACCTCCTGTCTGATGAGAGCGCGAATGGACGTGGAGACACCCGGGGCACCAACTTCTCAGTGCTGTCTGTGTGCACACAACCCCTCCTCAGGCACCCCCCACACATCACTAGGGGTCATGCCTATGGTGCTGCTACTCTGCATAGGATAGAAGCCTGGGTCAGAAAAAGGACTTCCCTTTGTATTTTACTTTATTTATTTATTTTGAGATAGGCTCTTGCTCTGTTGCCCAGGCTGGAGTGCAGTGACGCATTCTTGGCTCCCTGCAACCTCCACCTCCTAGGTTCAAGCAATTCTTCCGCCTCAGCCTCCTGAGTAGCTGGAATTACAGGTGTGCACCACCACACACAATTAATTTTTGTATTTTTTAGTAGAAATGGGGTTTTGCCATGTTGGCCACGCTGGTCTCAAACTCCTGACCTCAAGTGATCCTCCCACTTCTGCCTCCCAAAGAGCTGGGATTACAGGCATGAGGCACCATGCACCTGGCCCTATTTGTATTTTAGCTTTGTGCTATTCAAAATGTTTCCCTAATAATCATATACCACTTTTATAATGAAAATTTTAAAATTTTTGTGGATTTTGTTTTCTTCCCCAGATGTACTGAGGTATAATATACGAATTAAAAACCTGTATATATTTAAGGTGTACAACATGATTTCATATATTTTGTGAACTGAAGACACAAGTTAATTAACACATCTATTACATCTAATTATCATTTTTTTTTTTTTGAGATACGGACACCTAAAGTCTACTCTTTCAGCAAATCTCAAGTTAATAATATTAACTATAGCCCCATGTTGCATATTAGATCTTCAGAACTTTATCTTCTAACTCCTGACCTTGTGATCTGCCCACCTTGGCCCCTCAAAGTGCTGGGATTACAGGCATGAGCCACCGCGCCCAGCCTGTATATTTTAGATATTAAGGTATTATCAGATAAATGCTTTTGAAAATATTTTTTCCCAACCTGTAGTTTTGCTGATTGTTTCCTTTGTTGTACAGATACTTTTTAACTTTTAAAATTGTTAAAATAACAGATTGACAGTGGATCAAGTCAAAGTACTTATTTTTATTATGTAGAGAAGCAAGAGTTATCCATCCCAGGAATCAGTATAACCACAGTACCCACTAAACAAGAGATTTTGCCAGAAAACCCCATGTGACTCTTTAGGCTGCGGTTTCCTCATCTAAGGTCAGGAGGGGTCAGCTGTTACCCTGACGGCCGCCACTACCACCTGCTGAGGGCCCCGCTTTATCATCCTCCCACAGGGCGGGTGCTGCTGTCCTCACCTGTTACAGATGAGGAACCACAGCTGGGAAAGGCCATCACCCTCACAAGGTTATGTCAAGGCCTGTGCCTGAACCGTAATTCTACAATGCCTCTATTTTCATTAAAATATAGAGACTCTAAGTGAAATTTATTCATTTTTATAAACAAACTAAAATCAAAATTCAATTCCTACCCTGTGGCAACAACAGTGTTCTTTGCTCTTATGCGATGGATGGACCCATCTTCTATGCACAGTGCAATCACACCACGGCACTCTTCATTCTCCATCAGGAGATCCAAGGCAAAATACTCCACAAAGTAGCTGGTATCGTATCGCAGAGACTAAAAGAAAGAAAAAACGGCAAGGAAGTGTTAAGCCAGCTTTCCAGGTTTTAAGATGACACTGTTCATGTGAACAGGCGAAAGACCTGCTTGTTCTGTTCTATGCTGAATGTCACATATCCCAGGTTAGAACCTGGTACGTAAGATTATCAATTCAACTTTCCAAAATAGATACAAGAAATTACATATTGCCTTAGGGACAGCTTCCCACAGCACGCCTGGTGCTTTCACATCAACAATCCCTGCACATGTCTTACACAGTTGTTCTCTGTTGCTTTTTACATAATCTTTGCCGACTCACTGGGCACACTAACCCATTCCCCATTGTCACCATAAGCCCCAGCACTACGGGTCCTGTCTCAGGTGCAGTGGAGGCGGCCTTACCCTTCCATACAAGGTGTGCAATAGCGAGTGGCCTGTCCGATCAGCCACACAGCAGCACCGATGGGCCTGCCCGCCCTTTCCAAACTTGAGGCTCTGTCCACCAAACGCACGCTGATAAATCTTCCCATCTTGGGTTCTGCTAAACGGCATGCCATAATTTTCTAGCTGTGAAAGACAAAAACAAACAAAAACATATTACCTTAAAGGAGTCAAGATATTGACAGCTAAACAACTTTTAACACAAATCTGCAAACCCAAAGTCATGTATTTTTTGAAAATCTCAACCCTTCATCAAAGAGAAGTTTTCTTGTTACATGTAATGCATCATTCATGATGGAAAAAGTTCTCTTGTGAGCTTCGCTCATCACCGTTCTTTCGGCTAGCCAGATCTGCCTCAATCGCTTACATTTTTTCCAGGACTCTTTTGTTCTAGAAACAGACCACAAGAGCACCCACAGCCTCCCGCCTATCACCTCGACCACGGCGGCAGGGGCCTGCTCTGTCATGTAGTGGATGGCATCCTGGTCCCCCAGCCAGTCGGAGCCTTTCACGGTGTCGTAGAAATGCCACCTCCAGTTGTCCTCCTCCATGTTCCCCAGAGCAGCATTGATTCCTCCCTGGAAACAACAACCACTCCTTACAGGCCACAAACAGGAGCCCCAACTTGGTCTTTAGGCCCAAATCCACCCACCAGGGACTCAGAGAAAGCCACTCCTCATGCAGTGATTCCCAGGGAGAGCTGCCCTCAGCAGAGGGGCAACAAGGCCGGACAGATTCCAGATCACAACTCCTCCCCTGACTCGCCCAGTGATTCACTCCCTTAGCCTCAGTCTCCTCATCTGTGTGGTGGAGACAGAGGGAGCTCCAGGAAGGGCTGATTGGAGCAGTGAGCGAAAGGCTACCTGTGATATGCTGACTACCTAACACACCTGGCACAGAAAAAGTACTCCACAAATCTTTCCAGATAATTTTATTCATAAACCTCCCTAAAGGCATTTACAGGCATATGTTAAAGACTAGAAGTGCTTCCTGCCAAGAAATAAACTCCACACTCAGAGTCACACTCCCCAGCACCCCCACCTCCTTCGGCTGTTTGTGGCCACCATCGTCTTACCCCTCAGAGAGTCCCAGAAGACGGCAGCACAGGGACAAATGAAACCCTTGCCCTTTTCTTCCCCAACCTAAATTCTGATTCCTCCTCTTTAGATGATCTCCCTTTCTTAAGGTGTTGGGGTGGTGAGGGTCGGTGGGGAGGGCAGTGGGCGAGACGGTCAGAGAACACCCAACTGCGACTGAAGTCCCAAGTAAGAGTGACGGCAAGGCTTCAGCTCTTCAAAGTCCCCATGGAAGAGGCTCCAGGAAAAAACCCCTGAGAGGGAGCTGAGTGAGCAAGGCACAGCAACAGGCCATGTGGCTGAAGCATGGGAGGAGGCAGGAGGCCGCCCAGGTGGAAGGTGCAAGGCCGTGCAGGCATGCCGGCAGTGAGAGCATGGCGGGGCACCTTTCTCTTACCTGGGCTGCAACAGTGTGTGACCTGGTAGGAAACAGCTTGGTAACACATGCCGTATTAAACCCTGCCTCAGAAAGGCCAAACGCAGCTCGCAAGCCTGCCCCTCCAGCGCCCACCACCACTGCATCAAATTCATGATCCACTACTGGATACTGAGCAGAAATCTGGAAAATAAAAATTCACCTGTCAATCACATATTCCATTATGCCAAACATGAAGACTATGGTTACAGTGCAAGAGCTTGAAAAAGGTAAAAGGAGCAACTGCTAGGCCCACAGGGCCTCCATCCTGTCCCGGGCTGAGCACTGAACGGTGCGGGAAGAGGTGGGCACGTTCACACGTGGAGAAGGGACTGACAATCAGATTCCATGAATGGTAGAGGGCCCAGCCCATGGGATCAGGAAACCCAGTGTTACCTGAAATGCTGAAAACTTGCAGGTATACCCTTAAAAAATCCATTTTGGGGAAAGCATAACCATTAAGACCCAATCTGTCAATTCTGTTTACCAAAGCAGGGAAGTGTAGAAGCAAAGGAAAGCAACAACCTGAATCAAAATGCCAGTTCCAAACATGGTTTTTCTTTCCAGTTGTGACTTTGCTTTTCTCTTTGTGTGTTTATATCCATATACATATGCTAAACAAATCTCAGCTTCTAACATAGCCAGGATAATGTTTCCCCGCCTGTGATTTGCAGGTTTCTCATGAAAATGCTAGAATGCAGTTTTCATTAGAGAAGCACATTCCAGTTCCTCTGGGCTAGCACCTGAGAACTGAGGACCCCGGCTCTACTTCAGGGCCATGTCTATGCTCATAGCTGAGAAGGTGCCACGGAGTATTCAGTTGCTATCGTGAGCAGAAGGGAAAAGAACTTCTCAGCAAGCTTCAGTTTTCCAACAGAGAACACGCACACCAAATACCAAAGAACCCACAACCAAGGGGCCACACAGTCCTATATGCAGTAGGGATTTTATCATCTATCACAGCAGACACTGTTCATTTTATTTTAATTTATTGCTTTACTTGATCTAAATTGAAATCTAGCTTACAGATACATACAAGATGTAAGTACAAATGTTAACACCTATGCTTATGTTTGTACTTGCAATTATTACACTGAAAATCATTTGAGCATGCACAGGGTGCCTACGAGAATTTTTTCTCTTATGTCTATGACTCATATGGAAACAAACTGCTATCGACCTCCCCGTAAGCCAAAAAAAATCACTTATAATGGAACAAAAAGCACGAACTCACGGATTCTGAGACTTTAGCAGATGCCCTCTTGTTCCCATCAACAGCGAAGTGAAAGCCTCGGGTCCCTGCTGGTGACACCACTGGCCACTGGAGACACAGAAGACACAGATCCAGAGCGTTAGTGTCCTGAAGGAACAAATGCTGTGGGGACAGAATTCGAATTCTGCCTTGCGAACTGTTCACCTCTGTATGTACCCAGGTGCTCCCGTGCATCCAGAGGGCTCCGCCGGGACTCTCGACTTAACCCGAAGGGCGGCCCAAGCGGCGAGGAAGGACTGGGTCCCCAGGCCCTCCTTTCCACCTGACTAGGCACTCTAGAAAATCAGGACAAAGCGTGTTTCCGAACAGGATACTCACTGACTCAGATACAAAATGAAAACACGAAAGTTAGCTGGGCGTGGTGGCAGGTGCTTTTAGTCCCAGCTACTCGGGAGGCTGAGGCAGGAGAATTGCTTGAACCCGGGAGGCGGAGGTTGCAGTGAGCCAAGATTGCACCACTGCACTCCAGCCTGCTGGCACCTGGTAGACTCAGTCTCAAAAAAAAAAAAAAAAAAAAAAAACCCAAAATGAAAAAGGCACATTTCTCTGTAAAGTCTTAATTTATGCTACTTCGTACAGAATGGGAAAGACATCTACATTATATTACTGTATGTGGTATTGCAAATAATGAAGCATTTTAACTGGCTCCATCATAGCCCTTTCCACATGACAGTTCCAATCGTCCATGAGGGTTTGCGGTCAGTTCAAAAGGCACTGGATGCTGTATCAGGGGATCTGTATTCTGGAAGAGTAAAAGCTGATAGCCCAGAGGGATGAGGTGTCATCCTTCATCACACACAGGAGGATGTCAGACGCACACTCTCCCACTGCCTGGCTGCTCCTGGCTTTTTCCTGGCCAGCGTCTACAACTTGCCACGTTATCTTAAATATTCCATCTTAGAAAACTTTACCCAAGAAAAGTGCTTTTAGTGTTAGTTTTTAGTGGCTCAGTGTGAGACAGGTGACATTCTCCATGTGCTAAGGCTGGTCAGCCATTTAGGGGATGTGTTTTCTATTCTGCTGGCTGCATTTTAGAAGACCACTGAATAGTCTCAGAAATATCATAAAGAATAGTTTTAGGGGCTGGGTGCAGTGACTCATGCCTGTAATCCCAGCACTTTGGGAAGCTGAGGTGGGCAGATTACCAGAGGTCAGGAGTTCAAGACCAGTCTGGCCAACGTGGCAAAACCCCATCTCTACTGAACACACAAAAATTAGCTAAGTGTGGTGGCAGGCACCTGTAATCCCAGCTACTAGGGAGGCTGAGGCAAGAGAATGGCTTGAACCGGGAGGCAGAAGCTACAGTGTCACTGCACTCCAGCCTGGATGATGGAGCGAGACTTGGTCTCAAAAAAAAAAAAAAAAAAAGTTTTAGGAAATTATACACTCAACGATCAGAAGAGGGGATGTGAGAGATGTCTTCAAGTATTTAGAAATACTTGCAATTCAGAATTTATTGTGTACATGAAAAAATTCTTCATTTCTCCAATTTCTAGTCTATTTCTTTGTTTTTATTGACATAAGCTAATTTAGGGTTTTTTCTTTTTTTCAGAAAATGAATTAGAACAAATATTCTTCCTCCTTAGTATATTTTTAAATAGTAAAATCCTATTTTAAGAAAGAATGAAGCTTTTGAAATATCTAAATACAAACATTCTTGAAAATGTTGTAAAGTGCTCTATTGACATAGATAATAGTTCCAATAAGAACAGTATGTTATACCAAATGTAAGTAGAAACAGTGAGGTCACTAAGTGTTTATTTGTTCTTTCTAGAATGTTCATGTGGAATACCCCTCCACCCCACAACCCTGCCACACAGACCTAGCTTAAAAGGGGCAGCTAGTATAACAAAATCTTTAAGAAATTACTATGCCAACCCCTTGGAGAAAAGGGCACTAACCCTTTGCATCTAAATCTAATCTGGGGGAGATTTTTGAATTTGGAAAGCCCAACTGTAAGCCAATTTCAGTCTTTAGAGAAAACTGAAAACTAGTTTTGACACAAAATTAGTCTTTTTTTTGTCAATTATTAATTTTTTTTAGGAGAAGCTATCAAACATTTCCACTAAGAAAAATGGGGAACATATAACTAAAAGGAAAAGTTAGACCTTGCTTAACAATATAGAGCCGGGCGCGGTGGCTCACGCCTGTAATCCCAGCACTTTGGGAGGCCGAGGGGGGTGGATCATGAGGTCAAGAGATCGAGACCATCCTGGTCAACATGGTGAAACCCTGTCTCTACTAAAAATACAAAAAAAAACTAGCTGGGCATGGTGGTGCGTGCCTGTAATCCCAGCTACTCAGGAGGCTGAGGCAGGAGAATTGCCTGAACCCAGGAGGCGGAGGTTGCGGTGAGCCGAGATCGCGCCATTGCACTCCAGCCTGGGTAACAAGAGCGACACTCCGTCTCAAAAAAAAAAAAAAAAAAAAAAATATATATATATATATATATGTAGAATTTCAGATGACTGAATTAGGAGGTGGAGGGAAAGAGCAATGAGGGAAAGTGTTCTCTTTCCAGGGTCCACAAGGGGGCGTAGTTCCAAGGGCAAGAATTTCCCAGCGCCACGCCCCCCTCCCATCTCTCTCCATCTGGGAGATTTAACGTTTGTGTGAATTTCACAGACACGCGAAGAAACTAGAAGAGTCAATCACTCTAGCGGAAGTTCTAAGGAACTCCCCGGGTCTTAGAGAAGGTGGGGGTTCCTCCCAGGTTAAAAGTCCCCTTCTTCCACACCCCCTCGGACTCCATCTTTGGATCCCCTTCCACGAACACTCCCTTCGTAGAAGCCTGTCTTCCCCTCCTAAACTCCATCTCTCTCTATTCCCTTCCACTCGGTGTGGAAGCTGCTTTCCTCTCCTGGATTCCATCTTTCTGGATTCTCTCACTCAGGGTCAGAGTTAGCTGTTTATTTCTCTCTCCTCCTGTTTCTCTCTCTCTCTAAATAAATCACTTTCTACAAACACTTTTGAGTCCGGCATTTACTGTGCACTGTGCCATGGTCCTCTCTCTCATTCTTGAGAGGACAGGAGACCAAGAACCTGCATAAACGTCCTCTCAGGGGAGCTGAGGGCACCCTGAACCCCTGAATCCCAATATTACTGTAAAAAGTGGAGAGACACTAATATTCAAAATCTAGCAAAATAAGAGTTCTCATCTAATAAGATGCACCTATAAACCATGGGCAAGAAACTAAACTGCATGTACAATCTATACGATTACAAAAGCAGCCAATGAAGAATCTAAAAATGGTTGTATGACCGTATCAGGAAGAAGAGGAAGTAGGATAGTTTAAGTGAACTAAATCCCCTCTCCCAGGCAAGAAGTGTAAAATGGGTAAAAGTACACCTGCATATCTGCTAAAGAAACAGGTATCACAAATACCAGGAGTCAATATCAGAAACAGGAATTGCTTCCATGGGAAATGGGGCTGGGAGGTGTATACTCATTGATTGTTTTACAACTATATTTAATTATTTTCACCAAAATTGTAATGTTTATTGTTTTAACAGTGGGGATGCTTAAAATACAGTTCACACATGGCTCCTGCGCATAGGCTGTGAGCCCTGGTTCCGAAGAGCACCACCAAAGGTTTCAAACATACCCACAGAATCCTCACTAGCCCGGCGCAAAGACAGAAGCTCAGGAAGGATTCAAGTCGGCCGGACGGCTCCAGATCCTGGACTTGCCCCCGATATAAGTAAGGGCCCTTAGGAAAAATCTCTGAGATTCCCAACTAATATTATATCCAGGTTTTCGTAGCAAAAAAAGTCACAACTTTTCTCATAAACCAGGAAAAACATCATGAAGAATGCAGAATGGAATGCAATTACTGTTACAATTATCCCAAGAAGCAAAGCAAAAGTTTATTACTATAATGGCCTCAATAGTGTATTTCTAGAGCACCATTAAACATATTCAGAACAATCCATTCACAGAAAAGAAATCAATTTGTCCTAGAACAACACATTGGAGATTCATGTTAAAGGATTTGAAAAACTTCACCTGAAGCAAGCAGTTAACCCAGTAACTATTCAAGTTTCTTGGTTTTACTTTTCCTCTGGATTAAGCTGCCTTCGAACAGTCTGCAAGCTGTGTCACTGCCCTCCGCCATAAAAAGACACTAAAGGCAAAATAAGTCTGGGAAGTTCGTCACTTGAAAGCAGGTGTAGAAACAGAACGACTTCAAAACACCACAGAACTGGTCGAAATGAGATTAAAAAATTCTCTTTGGACTTTACCGAAATTATCTATTTTCCAAACACATTTCTCAGTTGGCTATCATAAATTTCTGAAATGCCAATAAATACATTGCTTGTAGGCAGAATTCTGTAGGAAAAGCTGACTTCATCAAGATAAAAATACTTAAAAAACCCAAGACCATATTTGGTAGGCCTAACTTGGTTTAATTTTGCTATCTTGCCGTTTTGTCTGAAGCGCATCCACCGCTGGCGGGGTCTTGGTCTGCAGAAGGAGCACGGGGCACCACCTGGGATGAGGACAAAGGTAGTGCTAGCCCCAGCTCTTCTCCAGTCGCAAGCGGCCATCACTGACCATGGACTTGACTTTCCGCTTGTGGATGCCTCCTGGCAGCTCTTAAGCGCCCAAGTTGCGGCGGGGGTCTCTGCTCAGCACCAACCACAGCAACAGACTAAAACGTTTACATTTACATGATGCAGACGGGATAGCTGCAAGACTAATTCTCACATTAAATTCAACCAGAAAATTGCACAATTACAGGCATAATTCAAATCAATATTCCTGAATGCCTTCGTTCCTACTGAGATTTTTACTCTGCAATTTAAAATTACTTTGTAATTAAGGAAGTGGGTGGGTAAGTTCATTTCAAAGAACCAAATAACTAAACCTATCAAATTTAGCTTGATTAAATAAAACCCTAGAAGGCCGATTCTGAAGATGCAAGCGAAGAGGGCACATTCGGACAAACTGCAAGGGCTCAGGGAAGGATGGCCCTGCCCGTCATCCTGGACTGGGCCGAGCCCGGCCCTCCAGGCACTCACAACGCACAGGAAGGCGCGGGTCCTGGCGTCCTGGCCCGGTCAGTGCGCGGAGCTCTCGGTCTGACTTAAGAAAACTGCGCACAAGGGCCGCCAAACACCACCTCCAAAGCAGAGGCCCTTCGCTGACAAGGTCTGGATGTGACACGCACAGATCTGCGCTTTCTGGGAAGGGGAACTGCAGGCCCAAGCTCCGGCGCGCGGCGCTTCCCGCCCGACGCCCGGCCCGGCGGAGCCCGGTCCCTGCACCGACCCGGCGGCCCCACCCGCGGGGCAACCCGCGCAACAGGCGGCAGAGGCCCGGCCCAGCCCGGGCGGCCAGCGGCCGCGATCCGCCCGCGTGACCTTGGGCCGGCACACTCCTCCCCGAGTCCCCGCGCCGGGCACTGAGGCGGGGCGGTGGGGGGGCACCTCAGCCCGCGGGGTCCCCGGACCCCAGGCCCGGAGCAGTGCGGCGGAAGGGACCCCCGGGCCGAGCAGCCCGTGGGGTCGTGACCTTCACCGGGACGCGGACGACCTGCTAAGGACCGACCCCCGGCCCCCGGGTCCGCCCCGCTGCTGCCCCTCGCACCGGCCCAGGGCTCTCTCAGCCCCTTCCGGATCCCCGGGCAGGGGGCGCAGGGACCCGGCGCTCGATCCGCTCGGACCCGCTAGGGACCGGCCCGCTCCTACTGCTGCCTCGGACCCCGCCTGCCCCGCCCCGGCCCGCGGCACGGACTCACTGCCTTGGCCAGCGCCAGGCGCCGGGCGCTCAGCAGCCGCGACAGCCTCCGGACCCCCGACATGTCAGTCGTCGCCGCGCTGTCCCGCCAGTCCCCGCGCAGACTGCGCCTGCGCCTGCGCACCACACCCCGGTCGAGCGGGGAGCGGGATGGGGTGGGGGTGGGGTGGGAGTGGGGGTGGGGGGATACCGCGCCTGCGCACCACGCCGGGGTCGAGCGGGGTTGGGGGATGCCGCGCCTGCGCACTACGCCGGGGTCGAGTGGGGGGGGTGGGGGGACATCGCGCCTGCGCACTACGGCGGGGTCGAGCGGGGCGGCCGCGGGGGACGTCGCGCCTGCGCACCACGCCACGCCGTGGACGGGGGCTGAGTGGGGGCGCCGCGCCTGCGCAAAGCGGACCCGCGGACGGCGGCGCTGGGGCGACCCCGAGGTCCCGCTTTCTCCGACTGAGGTAGGGCGGGCCCTGTTCTGGGGAGGTGTCGGGCAGCAACATTGTAAAGCCCCGTGGGTGGTTCCCCGGGATCGTCCAGACCGCAGGGAATGGGGTCGGAGGGACGGCGCTTGTCCGCGGAGTCGGGCGGGAGCGGCCCCGGGCCTCCGGCCTCTGGTGAGCAGGAGGGACCCTCGGTCTCCGGCCTCGGAGGCGGGGAGTCTCCCTCATCCATGTCCCCAGCCTCTGGCTTCCGGCTAATTTTTAAATAGTTTGGAGAGGCGGGATCTTGCTTCGTTGCCCGGTCGCGAACTCTTGGCCTCCAGCGATCCTCCATCCTCTGCCTCCCAAAGCGCGGGGATTGCGGGCGGAGCCACCGCGCCCGGCCTGGGTCCGCTCTGAAAGCTGCGCAGACCCCGCCTTTGGCTTCCGCGGCTTTCTGACAGCGCACCCTGATGTTGCTTCTGGTGCAGATAGCGTTTTAATTTTTCTAGTGTGTCCTTTCGTAAGATACCTGAGATCTTTCTGTGGAATGAGGTGGCATGAAAAATGAACCAATAGTCATTAGTAATTATGTTTCCTGCCTTTTCACCTTAAATTATTAAAATCTTCCTATTGTACATAATTTTTTTTGACTATTTTGAGTTATTTTAGTAAATTTGCAACGATTCAGTCCCATTTTGTTGATATTTGGGTTTCCCATTTTTGCTACTAATAAATAACACCTTAAAGAACATATCTGTGACCATAACTTTATCTTTAGGATTATTTCCTTAGGTGCATGCCCCAGATGTGGCCTTTATTGGCTTATAGGGAATAAACATAATGCCTCCTAGACATTTTTTTGAAAGTTACGCAATTTTGGTCCTAGTTTAGTTATCTATTGTTTTGTTTGTTTGAGATGGAGTTTAGCTCTTGTTGCAAGGCTGGAGTGCAGTGGCATGATCTTGGCTCACTACAACCTCCACCTCCAGGGTTCAAGAGATTCTCCTGCCTCAGCCTCCCAAGTAGCTGGAACTACAAGCGCCCAGCTAATTTTTGTATTTTTAGTATTGATGGGGTTTTACCATATTGGCCAGGATGGTTTCAAACTCTTGACCTCAGGTGATCCACCTGCCTTGGCCTCCCAAAGTGCTGGGATTACAGGTGAGAGCCACCGCGCCAGCCTGAATTTTTTGATTCTGTAATTACCACAATCCCTTAGTATTAAGCTCCAAGATGTATTTTTGTCATATCTTTATTGTGTATTATAATTTTCTATCTTTACGTGTTAAACAAGTATTTGTTGAAAATCCGATGAAAAGTTTTCAGAAATTGGATTGGATTGCTTGTTTCTTATACATCCCTTGATTAAGTATTTTGTAATCGTGTGTATTTGTGGAGGTCACATGTAAACAAAGTGACTCCTTTGTGAAAATGTGCAACCTCGTGTGGGTACTCAGTAAACTGTAAATTCATATTAACCCAGCCTAGCTATAGAGGGTGCATGCTGAGCCTGAAGCAGGCAGCTCTGTAATCTCTGCATTTATCACCACCACGGGAGGAGGCCTGAGCAGCTTCTAGCCCTGTTGCACCTTCCCCACCACGTGGTCCCTCCCTGCCTTACTCACAGTCTTCCTTCTGATCAGAAGACCCTTTCCTTCTATCTCTGCCTGTTAAAACGCTGGTCACTCTTCAAACGCTAGCTCATGTGACAGTGTCACTGTCAGACTACTTTTATTGAGTTGATTCTGTGTCTTTCATACAACTGTATTAGGGTTCTCCAGAGAGACCACCAGTAGAGGGGAGAGTTGTAAGGAATTGGTTGAAGGGTTCAAATGCTAATCTCATCCCGAAACACCCTTGCGGACACACTCAGAAATAATGCTACACCACGTATCTGGGCACCCCATGGCACAGTCAAGTTGACACACAGAATTAACCATCACAGCAGCCATACATTTAAACGTATCTGTAGCAGAGAATGTACCTCATTCTGCCTGCATATCAGATGGCTAAGATATGTCTGCTTTCTCTACTTTCCCCGACCAGGTTGTGAGTTGCCTGCATCTAAGGTCTTGTGTTTTTCTTCTTTGAATCCGGTAGGGCTCAGTGCTGTGCAGCACATAGTTAAAACTGAAAAAATTTTCTTGAATAAAAGTAGTTAATGTTCTTATTCTTTACTTCAAGGTATATCTCCATGAATAACCTAAATGATCCTCCAAACTGGAATATCCGGCCTAATTCCAGGGCAGATGGTGGTGATGGAAGCAGATGGAATTACGCCCTGTTGGTTCCAATGCTGGGATTGGCTGCCTTTCGTAAGTCATGGTTTTCTTAAAATTCATGTTTTCCAGGCTGTGAGTATGGAGCCTGGTGAGGGAGGCTGCATGGTGTGGGAGCCTGAAGGCCATGACTTTGGGACCTTCCAGGGACAGCCGAGTTTTAAACCATGCAGTGAACTATGAGCAAATTACTTAACTCTGAGCCTCAGTTTTCCTTTTCATGGGAGATGGATAATCATACTTAACCTCAGCACATTGCGGGGATTAAGTAAGCCAATGGGTTTAGTATTTTGTGTGGGGTGGGTTTTAATAACTTAGTTCCCTCTCAAGGCTTTGCTGCTCTCAAGTGGAAGGGTGAGGGGTGGGGGTGGGGTCTCTTGTTTCAGGTGCCCTCATAAGGGCTGATGGAGATGAAAAAGAACGGGTGTAAAGGAAACCAGTGGGCTGGGCATGGTGGCTCACACCTGTAATACCAGTACTCTGTGAGGCCCAGGTGGGCAGATCGCATGACCAGCCCGAGCAACATAGCAAAGCCAAAAAAAAAAAAAAAAAAAAAAAAAAATTAGCGCCACACACCTGTAGTCTCAGCTACTCCGGAGGCTGAGGTGGGAAGATCAGTTGAGTCTGGGGTCAAGGCTGCAGTTAGTGAAGATCGCACCACTTCCCCTCCAGCCTGGGCAACAGCGTTAAAAAACCAAACCAAACCAGTGATGTTTAGTGTTCAGGAAATCAGTCTTGGAAGGCTTCATCTGTGAAATCTCTGCTCCACCCGGCCAGAAATTCTCTCTAGTTTGGATTGACTTGGCGTCACTTCGGGGACCACCAGTCACATGCAGACTTGCCATATCCTCAGCAAACAATCAGTTCACTGATGTAGAGGAGTGAGTTTGTGCTTCTTCTCATTCCCTGGTTCTGGGCTGGCACTTAGGAGTGTGAGAAACTGAGCGATTGAATGGGAGGAAGGCAAACCTGTCCTCTAGCTGTAGTGCTGTGTTTTCTGTAGTGGCCTTTTATCTGCTTCTGACCTGCATGTCGCAGGTCAGAAGTTTTGCTGTAGAGGAAGTGGAGGCTGATAAGAGCAGGTGTGAAGACAGAGAAGCCCACTGGAGCGCTGAGATTCCGAATATTCTCCCCAGCGCCAGCCTGAATTTTTTGATTCTGTAATTACCACAATCCCTTAGTATTAAGCTCCAAGACGTATTTTTGTCATATCTTTATTGTGTGCACAGTGCCCGCTTGGTGGTGAAGGACGAGGCTGGTCCACATACAGCCCCAAGGGGCTGCCACCTAAAAAGCTCACCCGCCTGCAGGCTTGGGAAAAAAGCACTTAACGCTTGGAGAGGCTGCTGTTGCCTGTGGCGAGGGTGAATGGATTGGAAAGCTTAAAATTGCTCTTACTCATGTAATAATTAATTGGCTTTGAGGCTGGGAGAGGCCCTGAAGTGACTCATTTTCCAATTGTTTTTCAGACTCATCTCCAGCTTTTATAGCCTTTCATGATAACTTTCACTTTTGCAATAATTCTTGCCTTCCCTTCTCGGACTTTTGAAACGATGCTTTTTGTCCCTGCAAAGGGTTGAAGAATATTTTGCTTTTTCTTCTTGGTTTTTTGCTGAGGTCTTGTGGTCAGAGGTAACTGTCAACTTGGCTTTCTCAGGAGGATTCTCCAAAGGTGTGTTGTGATGTGTTTGAGGCTCTGTCTCACACAGGAGCGTTGGCCAGCCCCAGTGTAGGCTAGAAGAGGAAGACAGATAAATACTTGATAAACACCGTTGAATGATTTGTTGATGAGAGGCTAGTTTTGTCCTGATTACCTACTTCATTTGCTAGTTTTTACTTCACATAGCGTAGAAGTGTGTATAATTGTGCTTTCAGGCAAGAGCAGTCCATGGAGAAATTCTTACCGTGTGTAGCTCCCTGGGGAGAATATTCGGAGTCTCAGCGCTCCAGTGGGCTTCTCTGTCTTCACACCCTTCTGCCATTCTGCTTTCCCCACTTTTCTCTCGGTCTTCCTGATTCCCCTTCCCCATCTCCTCTCTCCAGGCTTTCTCTCTCTAGCGTTTCTATACCTCCTCTTTCCTCCCTTGACCTAGAAAACACATCGTCTTAGAGCTGAAAGGGACTGGTTGAGTTCACTGGGTCCAACTCAGTTTCTTTTAATTAAACATTTTATTTTGGGGTCATCACATGGAGTTATAATCAGTAATACCGAGAGCCCATGTACCCTCTACCCAGCTTTCCCCAATGGAAACATCTGCAAGACAACAGTGCAGTGTCATAGCCAAGACATCCGCCAGGAGTCCATCGAGGTACAGCAATCCTGGGGCCCTTCATGCTGCCCTTGGGTACCCCACCTTCCTCCACAACTCCCAGCAGCCGCTAATCTGTTCCTCATCTCCAGACTTTTGTCATTTTAAGAGTGTTATGTAAA